TGACAGTCCAGGCACTCCCGGCCTAGCCACCTACATGGGAGATCCTGGCCAGGCTTCTGAGCTCCTTGCTTCACCCTGGCCCAGCCTTGACTACTGTGACCATTTAACAATGAAACCTGCTCCCTTACATGCATAAATATTTTCTGTAAAAATAATTTTGCTGTTGTTGTTATGCGAGCATGCGCATGTTGAAAGTGGAAGGATGAGATAGGCTATTCCACAAAAATGGAACCGCAGGAAAAGCAAGAGTAAGAGCAAGTGATCCTTATGTTGGACAAAATAGATTTGATACCTAAAATGGTAAAAATGGGGCCCAACAGCATGGCCTAGTGGCTAAAGTCCTAGCCTTGAACACTCCGGGATCCCATGTGGGCGCCGGTTCTATCCTGGTGGCCCCACTTCCCATCCAGCTCCCTGCTTGTGACCTGGGAAAGCAGTTGAGGATGGTCCAAAGCTTTGGGACGCTGGCCCCGCCTGGGAGACCTGGAAGAGGTTCCTGGTTCCTGGCTTTGGACCGGCACAGCATCGGCCTTTGCAGTCACTTGGGGAGTGAATCATCGGACGGAAGATCTTCCTCTCTGTCTCTCCTCTTCTCTGTATATCTGACTTTGTAATAAAAATAAATAAATAAATAAATACATCCTTTTTAAAAAAAAATGGTTAAAATCAAACACAATTGTGACATCATGATTAGAGGATCCAGTTCACTAAAAAAGGAATCAATACTTGTCAAAACGACTAGCCCCCACATCAGAACACCCAAATGTGGAACCTGAATATTCATGTGCCTAGCGTGAACTCAAATACAACGCAGTAGGGGAATTTCATATCCTGTTTCCGGAAGCTGCCAGATCGTCCGTGCAGCACATCGGCAGAGGAACAACAGGGTACCAGCAGCCTGCAGAGCATCATAAGCACAAGCCACAGAGTCCTCCCCCGAACACACCCAGACCTCTCACAGAAGCTTACATCAGTGGTCCAAACACATATCCCAAGAAACTAAAACAATCTACTGCATATGTTTCTTGCACCCAGAATCTCATAAAAGTGAAATCAACACGAAAAACTTCAGAAACTACATGGGGTGGGGAGATATATTGGCAGAGTGAGTTAAAACAGCTCCACTTCCTTTACTGCATTTAATGAATGAATGAACTTTTTATTTGAAAGGTAGGTTTACAGAGAGAAGGGGGGAGCGAGAGAAAGAAGGAGAAAGAGAGAGAGAAAGAGGAGAGGGAGAACTCCCATGCCCTGGTTCACTCCCTCAATGGCTACAATAGTTAGAACTAGGCTGATCTTAAGTACATGGGCCCACAGACTTGAGCCAGCCTTCTCTGTTCTCCTAGGCCATAATCGGGGAACTGGATTGAGAGTGGAGCAATGGGAACGTGAACCATCATCCAAAAGGGGTGCTGGCACTGCAGGTGGAGGCTCAGTCTATTGTGCCGTAACACTGGCTTTTTAGCTCTTCCAGTTCTGATCCAGCTCCCTGCTGCTGTGCCTGGGAAAGCAATGGAAGATGGCCCAAGTCCTTGAATACCTGCAACCATGTGGGAGACTCAGAAGAATCTCCTGGCTCCTGGTTTTGGCCTGGCCAAACCCTGGCAATTGAGGCCAATGGAGGAATTGTCCAGTGGATGGAAGACCTCTTCATCTCTGTCTCTTTCTCTCTCTCTCTCTCTAACTCTGCATTTCAAATAAATAAAATTAATCTAGAAAACTGAAACTACCTAAATACGTGACTAAACAATGTACAACTTCATCAATGGAGAAAGGGAGAAATTGAGAATAAAATTTAGTATCTCTTGAAATAAAGGAGATGGAATACAACATCTTCACACCTGTGGGCAGCTCTTTTTTCCTCCATCTTAGTTCTGCGTTCCATGAACAAAGTGTCCAGGGAAGATGCAGAAGCAACCTGCTGACAAGCAGGAGTTGTCACAGGTCCAGGGCGAGACTGCAGTCACTCACGGCGAGAACTTGAGGACGAAGATTCTGCACAGCCAACCACACGACAAGCTCATGTGGCTGTGACCGCTGATGTCACAGAGCATGAACAAGCATGGCCAGCGGTGGCTGTGTTTGTCAGGACTTCACGATAAAGTGGTTTCAAACACTTGCTGAGACACACAGAATCTAACTGCCCAAGAGCATAGAGCAGGAGAGGCTGGGAGAGCAGGTGTGAAAGTAAAGAGTGGTGTGAAAGCAGTCAGAGCCCAGGACACCTGCAACAGTGGCATGGTTGGTGCTGGCAGGGAGTTAACCATGTAACCATATGACAAACCATGACCTGGGTGGGTGTTTTAGAAAACTGATTGCAGTGGCTTGATCTGCAATGGGTCCCATGTCTATCAGTGATAATCAGTGAGAAATGAAGTGGGAATGGAGTGTAAGAATCTGCAGAAATGGAAATGACCACCAGGGAATCCTAAGGACACAGGGAGTCCTAAGCAGCTTATTAGCTGCTGAGGACTGTGGGATCCTATTCCATCAAAGAACAAGCGTGCACACCTGGCTCAACAACAACAGAAAACCTGAGCTGAAAACAACAGACACAGAAATATGACACACGGCTTCTCATTAGGAAAAATAAAAGGCCAAATTGGATGATTCTACAAGTGACATTTCATGGCTCATTTTGTTGCTAGATGTACGAAAGTCCACATTATACACGGTAGTGTTTTTGAAGCTGGGCATAGACAATATTGTCTGTTCTGTGTGTTTGCAAAGCTTGACCTGGAAACTTACTAAGCTGTCCATCAAACTGAACCACTATCAGCTCAGTATGTATATGTACTGGATAAATCCTTTGATGCCTTTTAACATTTATTCCTGCTACGCATACTCCAGCAAAGAAACAGATAATGCTTAAGACTGGCAGTACTCCATGAATTCTAAAGGACAGTTGTTTCTATGCAAAAAACAAACAAAATAGTAAACCATATTCAAGAGCAACTCTTACAAAAGATAAGCAGAAATAGATAAGAATATAGAAAAATGTGAATACAAACATTAGATATAATTACCCCCTCTCCTTACAAGCATACATCCAGTAAAACTGGACTCTTGCTATGAAATCTTCTGCTTAGATTTGAGTGGTAACTTTATTGTCTCCCACCTCTAGGAAGCGTTTGAAGCCCAAAGGACTAAGTTCTTCCCATTATTCTTGTTTACATTGCTAGCCTGTCTATAGAGCTTCCTCGTTTCTTTTCTTGTTCTTTATAGTATTTTATAGAGTTTCTCGGGATTTCACACAATGTGACTTTGCTTTGTAGGATGCCATCCTTTTTTTTTTTTTTTTTTTATAAAATTCAATGATTATTGTTACAAAGAGCAGAACTGACGGTGAGAGGGAGTGTGACCCGGTAGGTTAAGCCACTCCTTGGCATGACCATACCTCATTCTATAGTGCCGGATCAAACCCCAGTGACTTTGCCCCTAATCTGTTTCCCTGCTCACACACCTTGGGACGCATAAGCTGGGAGCCCTCACATCAGAAACCTGGGTGGAGCTTCAGCACCCTGGCTTTGTCCTGTTCCCACCCTAGGTGTTGCAAGGAATTTGGATAATTAACCACAGACGGAACATGTCTCTCCCTGCTTCTGTTCTTTCCCTCTCTTTTTGTCACTGTACTTTTTAAGCAGACAAAAAAAAAATTAAAAAAAAATCTTATCTTACAAAATATTCAAAATGTCATGTACCTTTTCTTGTAAATTACCAAGACAAAGTATTATTATTATTATTATTTACATCTGGTTAAAATAAATTTTTCAAAGATTCCAAATGTATAGTTCTTGTAAAATAACCAGAATCAAGGATCCAAATGTAAGCATCTCAGGTCTGTTGGGAAAGTTGAGAAGGACATCCACTGAGCCGGGGCGGGAGGAATGGAGATGGCGTGGGACACATACGTCACCCAGATCCCCTCAGACGTGTCATGAGCCAGACGCTTCTGTGGATTCTTTCTTTCCTTTTCTCTGTAAAGAAGCATGGTAGCCCCGTTATCTCTTCTTACAGTGACTGTGACCCCCTCACCGCCTGAATGGCACACCTGTGTAAGTATGTGCACAGCTAAAGACTCTTCGCCAAAAAGGTTGGCAAGAATCACTTTCAAAGAGGCTAAAACCATTTGCGATAGCTATGTTTGGTGTGTCCCTCTTCAATGGCTGGTGAAAGTTGATGCCCATAGTTAGGGGATTAGCGGTGAAGCCACTGAGACAGTGAACTGTTTCAGAGGTTCTGCTGTCATGAGCGGACTCAGGGGTTATTATCTGGAGAGAGTTGGAACTGCTGAGAAAGCCCAGTTTGTCCCTGTGCCTTGCAGGAGCCCTTCTCACCATGAGTGTTGTCCTGGGCCGCTTTGGGGCTCTGCGCAGTCCCCGTACTGCGCCAGCTAAAGACCAGACCCCTCTCAGATTCTAGATCCAGGAGATGAACAAATCCCCATTGCTTGTAAATTACCCTGTTGTAACAACTTACACCGATTACCCGGCGGTATGCACATGAAATTACACAGGTGATGTTGCATTTAGGGACTTAAGAGGGCTTCAGTAAGTCAAATGGCCATCAAAAGGGAGGAAGCACAAAAGATAAGAAGAGAATGTACAAAATCACAATAAATGGGGTGCAATTTTAAACAAACTTGTCAAAGTTTATAGTATGGGAAAGATATTATGACATTGAAATAACTTGACAAACGATACGCTAATGAAGACCCAAATAGAAGGGATCCCTAGAATGGGGCATCACACGCCTTCCTCTTTAAGTCCCCGGAAGTGTGTAAATGCTTTTCAGGGAAGGTTCTAGATTACAGCATTTTTTTTTTTATTGGCCCAACATACTGATAGTCAACTATTAAAAACCAAAATTGTCAGAGTGACATTTACAATATTTACTGCACATTTTTGAATATGTATCATAAATGTTATATAATCTAAGTATGAACTTAGGACACTGGGAAGTGATTAAAATGTAATACAAAGTATCGGCTGTAGTTACACTTACCCTTCCTCTTCTGCCTTCTCTTCACTGCAGGCTTTTTTCATTTCACTTCTCTTAATGATCATGATGGTGAAAATGATGAAAAATGGCAGAATAATGTAGAAACTCAGTACAATCCAGTTGCTGTGACTCGTTCTGTGGCGTTCTGGAAAAACATCTGGAAATGGAACACACCGGGCATCAAGCCGGACTCAGCAGATATTGAAAAACACTTGTTTTTCTTATTTTAATCATGCATGGTTATACATGCTTAAGACGTTAAAGTCTCACTATTTTTGATGAAGTAGTTTTCTTTTGCCTGATAAGAACAATGATTGAGTTATGTTTCCTTAAAGTTTGAAGTACACATTATTACTGATTCTAACTATACTATTATTTATAATAGATATTTGCTATGCAGACAACACATTATTTATATATATTATTATACAGCGCATCTTTTGAGTTTATTCTTCACTAACAGTTTCTGTATGCTAATGCTAAATCACCAAATCACTCTTGGGTTTTGTGAATTTCACTATTTTATGCATCTCGTGTGAGTGCAACCACGCATCCATTTCCTTTTTGTAATAGGCTTATTTCACTTGGCACAGGGCGTAAAAATTCCATGTGCCCTTACATGTGATAGAATCCTAGTCTTTTTTTCCAAGACTTAAGAGCATTCCACTCTATGCACAGATCACCTTTTTTCCATACATTTATTGTCAAGGGGTGTTTAAGGCTTTCCCACATTGCAGCAATTGTGAAGGGGACTACGGTGAAGAGAGAAGTGCTAGTACCATTCAACATTCTGTTTAGATTTCTTCCAGTATGTTCCCAGAAGAGGGATTGATAGCCTCTATTATGATGTACACAATGGAATATCTTTCAGCTTATAAAAAGAATGAAGTTCTGTAATTTATGCAGTCTTATTTATTTATTAGTTTTTTTGTTTCCTTTGCTTTTAATGTCATTTCCCATGAAACCATTGCCAAAATCACATCGTCAAGTTTTCCTCCTGTGCTCATCTGGGCATTTCATAGATTCGGGTCTCGTTTATCTGCCTCTTATCCATTTGGATTTGATTTGTGCATGCAATAGGAGATGATCAGCTAACGAATTACTTTGCCCAGACTTCCTCAGCCAAACCAGAGTGGAGGAAATTTGTCATCATTAATGCTGTGTTATGAAAGATGCTTGGAAGAGATCTTCAAATTGAAATGAAAGGATGCTAAACAGGCGACGTGTGGCGTAAGAAGTTCATGGACAAAGAATATTGGATTGCTGTACTGGTCATGAGGACATCACTCACACCTCTAGTACAACAGTGAAATAGAAAAATGCTACCACTGCAGCAAAAACATGCTAGGACATCCACATTATAATGATGACTCTACAGAGTGTGAATCAGGGGTATAAATGTGCTTTTTTCTGTAGGTAACTTAACACACATGCTTACTAAGATGGTCTGTTTTCACTGTGCGGTGAGTTAAGTTGTATTATCCATCGCCGCTGTCTCCCAGAATGAGTATCCTGGGATTCTGGAACTGTATGTAGCTCAGAATTGAACTTAAGTACTCTGATAGGTGACATGAATCAGATGAGGTGTCTAAAATCCAGGGATATCCTTACACTGAGATCCCATTTCATTCTTGCTCTTCTTCTTCTGTTCTCTTTCTAGATTTAATTTAGATTAATTTGATCTTCTTAAGATTTTATATATTTTTATTGGGAAGGTAGACATATAGAGAGGAGGAGAGACAGAGAGGAAGATCTTCCGTCCGATGATTCACTCCCCAAGCAGCCACAATGGCTGGAGATGAGCTGATCCAAAGCCAGGAACCAGGAGCTTCTTCTGGATCTCTCACATGGGTGCAGGTTCCCAAGGCTTTGGGCCGTCCTCGACTGCTTTCCCAGGCCACAAGCAGGGAGCTGGATGGGAAGCAGGGCCACTGGGATTAGAACTGGCGCCCATGTGGGATCATGGTGGGTTCAAAGTGAGGACTTCAGCTGCTGAACTATCACACCATGCTCTGATTGTCTTTTCTATGAAAGTTAACGACTTCAGATGTTACAAAATATTTTGATGGTATTCCTTTCTAAATGCTGCTTTTGATGGATTCCACCGCTTTTAATAGGCAGTATTTCATTTTTATCTAATGAAGACTTTTTCTCCTGAGACTTCTGAACGCTTATATCACTGGTGAGAGTTTTATTTAATCTCTTAACTTTGGAGGTTTACAGTCATCTTCTGTTAACTGTTTTCTACTTCAGTCCTGTTTTGTTCTTAGATTTACATTGTACAGTTTCGGTTCTTTACGGTACATCCTAAGCCGTTATGACACAGTCTACTGATGTTCCACGTGATCCTGAGAGCGAGGACTCGCATTGTGGTGTCAGAGGGGACTATTCCCCAGATGCCCACAAAGGTGACAGCTCCCCAGTCTCGTAAAGCTGTTCATTCTTCACGCCGTCTGGAAAACAGAACTGTCAGTGCAGTGGATGGAAGCCCTGTCGCCTGAAGTGGTGGCAGCACAAGCAATGACTTGCGTCTACTGCCTTCTGTCAGCTGAGCTGTCCTATTTTGGGGCTACAGAAATTGACTCAGTGTCAGGGAAGGGAAAAACAGACCGACTTTCTTGGTCATTGAACCTGAGTGTCTTGGGTTGACCTCCGGAGTAGAGCTGGGGCTTGTTTTCACTGTCTACTTGTTAGTTGCTTTCTGGGGGAAAAAGGCTTGTTGAGTTCCTTCTTCATGTTGCCAGATACTAGAAGTGTTAACGGGAAAAGCTTACATTTTTAAAATATTTTTGCTAGCTTTCAACAACTTAATTTATCTTAGGTGTAAATGTGTTCCTGAGGTTCACATAAATTTTTTAGATTAAATGTTTTGCTTTTTCACTTCATTGAGGAAATCTAAAGACTTTTTTTTTTTTCAAGTAACTTTCTATACACTCTCTCTTCTGCTACCCACCTAGATCTCCATTACCTATGGACAAGAACAGCTGAAATTAACTCAGAAATCAGCATTTCATTTTCATGTGTTCCTGTTTTTATCAAGGAGCGTGGTCTTTCCTAATGACAAATATCATCAACACCTTTTTAGTGCTATTTATTTTCATTATCTATGTTTCAAAGAACATCAATTTCAGACATTATGTGTGTAAAATAGTATTGTTTCCTCAAGTTGTTCTTAGTTCTCTGATCTCATGGAGAACAATTCTACTATTGCCAGGGTTATTTTTAAAAGAGAGATTTACTTATTCGTTCGGAAATCAGATTTATAAAGAATGAGGTAGAGACAAAGACAGGAAGAAGATCTGATTGATTGTCTAGATGGCCACAACAGCCAGGGCTGGACTCGAAGGCAGCCAGAAGCTGGGAAGAGGACCCAGTACCTGGGCCATCCTCTGCTGCTTTTCCCAGGCCGTTAGAGGGGAGCTGGAATGGAAAGTGCAGCAGGTGAGACACAAAGCAACGCTTACACGGGAAGCTGGTGTTACAGATGGCTGGTGTACCCACTGCACCTATTGCCAGTCCCATGAATTCTTTCTTTCACCTGAACTAGCTGTAAAGGAAGGACTACTAATCTGTGACATCCCTAGCAAGTTAGAATTTCTCATGAAACTGTCACATGAATTCCCCCCACAAAAAACTGAACCTCTATCTGTTAAAAAAAAATCACTGACTTCTTGCTTGCTCCATCTTGTGAAATTCTTGCTTTAAACAATGCGAAATAATAATGATTCTTATGGTTATAAAATAATTATATATAAAATATATAATAATAGAAAAATAAACTTATAATAAATGTACCTAAAATATAACAAATAAAATTATATTATATAGTAAGATAATATACAATTAAAGTTTACTATATTATTATTGTTGCTGTTATTACTATTCTAGAAATCAGACTTGTGGAGCCAAGACATTGGCAAGGCCATACTACCTCCACATTCCAGTCACTGTTTGCAACATTCCTTCTAATTACTTGAATTTCCAGCTTTTTTTACGTTACCTGTAATCATTCTTCCACACATACTTACTGCAGTTAGTCTTTGGGCCTTGCTCATTGGTGCTTACAAATAATGATACTACACAGAAACGTAAGTACCTTTCCTTTCATTGTCAACCTCAGGTTCTTGGGGTTCAGGCTGTTGTTCTGCAAGCGATTTATATTCACTGAGACTCAGATAAACCACGTCTGAGACTGTGGATAAGACGGACCTTCAGACATGTGAGCACACCCTGGGACCATCTTGCTAGAGGAGGTCCGTGAACGACTGAGTTTAGGTGTAGTGGGTGATGGTGCCTCCACTCACTGATGGACTCACTGCTGTTTTCTGGTGAATGTATTACATTTTGCCCCATTTCTTCAGGGCTTATTCGGAATGAGCATGACACCCTACAGTTACTTTTCAAGCACTTACAGAATTGCTAACTAGTTAAAGTGCGCATTGCTCCCACAGTTTGTATTCGCCTCTACATTATGTTCTAACTTAAATTCTGTGGCTTTTATTGAAACTTAACAAAAATGGTATTTACATCAGGTCATTTAAATAAGCCGATTAAATTTGGATGTCTCAGTGAAGAAAGCTCATTGCAACAAACTGGGGGCAGCAACTAAATGCATCTTTCAAGCGGACTTGGGGATTACGCAGGAAATCATGGAAAAGTAGGCTCAGAGGAACACCTCCTGAATTAGTTCCAAGAGAGATGTGCATCATGAGATATGTCAAATGCTCAGCTTATGCAAATAAAAACCTTTCCAAAATCACACACACACACACACACACACACACACACACACACACACACACACACCCCACACTTAATTGCTTCTCACCAGCCCGAAGAACATTTCCATCATCAACACTGCCCCCTAGTGAACCAATCTGGACTTCACAGTTTGGAGGCCTGTAGCCAGGAAAGCATTGACAATTTCCAAAATTATTACAAATCTGAAACAGAAAAATATAAAATCGTGTAAACATAGCAAATCATTACATCTGATACACATACCTGAATTTTAAAGAATAGCTACTTTTTCCCTAGAATTCATATGTATATGTAATATAAGAAAAGAAAGTCAAGGAATAAAATCACCACCCACAAAAATCTATGTCTAGCCTCTTTGCTCTTTTTAATAAACACTTTTCTTAACTCAGTTCTTTAACAGTAAGATTTAATAAAGTTATGGCCTTTATATTCGCAGAAGTGAGTGTATCATGTTTTTCACAAATATCAATTCATTCATTTTGGAAGCAGTTGCTATCACTATTTTGACATGCACGCACTTCTAATTTTGTTCTTAGAAACAAACCCAGGCAGCTGAGCCATCCTCTGCTCCCTTCCAGGAGGTGTGGGCGGAGGAAGCTGCAATGGGAACAGAGGCAGGATAGGACCCCGGCTATAGGATACGAACACTCCAATCAGAGACTTGATCCACTGCACCACAATGCCCATTTCTCTCTCCTTCCCTCCCCATTATCTTCCAATTTCTACACAGATTATTGTGATGAAATAGCTACTGATAGACTTGGATACTTTATTAATCTAATCCCTATCCGGTGTTTGCCAGCATTAAGTGCCAATTTGTATTTCTTTTTTTAAATTGAGTACTTTTCTCAAATACAAAATGAAAGTAGTAATAAAAAAAAAGAACAGAGACTTCGGCCTAGTGACTAAGCTACTGGTTTAGAATCAGAGTACCTGAATTATCTAGAATTAATGCCTGAATTATCTAGAATGATCTAGAATCAGAGTGGCTGAATGATCTAGAGTGCTTGAGAATCAAAGTGCCTGAAGCAGTTGCCCCCACTCCAGCTCCTGACTATAGAATCCTGCAAAGGCAAACCAGGACATGCAGCAACAGTGGCTCAAATCACCAGGCTGCGGTCACCCACAGCACTGCTCATTTTAGGCGTGTGAGCAGTCAGCCAGTGAATGGAGCTCTCTTTCTGTATCCGGTCATGTCTTTGTCATTCAAATAAACACATTTTTGAAAAGATGTATCTATTTTTATTACAAAGTCAGATATACAGAGGAGAGACAGAGAGGAAGATCTTCCATCCGGTGATTCATTCTCCAAGTGACCTCAACGGCCGATCCGAAGCCGGGAGTCAGGAACCTCCCCCGGGTCTCCCGCGCGGGTGCAGGGTCCCAAAGCTTTGGGCCGTCCTCGACTGCTTTTCCAGGCCACAAGCAGGGAGCTGGATGAGAAATGGAGCTGCCAGGATTCGAACCGGCATGCATATGGGATCTTGGCGCGTTCAAGGCGAGGACTTTAGCCACTAGGCCATGCCACCAAGCCCTATATTCTGGAAAACATCCTATAGCCATAATTTTAATGTTTAGGTATGTGAGGGAGAAAAACACATTTGAGATAGAAGTAAAACATTCAAAAAAGTAAAACAGTCAATGCAATATTTTAAAAGTAAGCATATCACTTTACCTCAGACATTGGGAACACTTAATATTATGGGATGTTCACACTCTTGATCTAAACCCAAAGGCCGAGAAACGATTAGTTCAACTCACTTAATGGTGGTTGCACTAACTCAGCTGATTTGCATTTTCTCAGGGAGCTGGACATCAGTGTTATCATTTTGAAAGGAACAGAACACTCCCACACATGCCTTCAATAGCGTGCATGGTTGCTCTGAATTGTCTGTCAGAGCGACATGGAATTCAGAACCACAGTAATTGACTTACTCCATTGCCTTTGCATTTTGTAGTGGCATTGCAGATATATCCCAGCAGAGGAACTTTAATGCAGGTTTGGTTCACACAGTACTAAAATAAAGAAACATTTTCACAATTAATCATAGATTTTATATGATTTTTATATTTTTTCTTTTTTACATATATGTTATATTTTATTCTTTTATATACACACATAAACAATGCTCTTATTGAAGAATGTACTAGTACCTCCTTGATTCTGTTATAAATATCCTGGCATTCCCCAGGTGGTCCTCAGAGATAAAAGAATTGTAAATTTCCCTCTGCACTCAGGAGAGCAGCTTTCTCTGGTCCTTACTTAGTTCCAGCTTTGGCTCCCCATCCTCTCTTCCACTGACCATCAGGGTCGCTCAGGGGCCCTAAAATTAGCTCAGACAGAGAATGACTACTGCAGAAAGTTTTGAACAGACATGAGGAAGTCAGCTGGCCTGTAGTTGCTCAGCCTGCACCTTACTGGTCAGACTCCGACTTGGCTTTTCCTAGACCTCACTAGCTAGGATGTCGACTTCAGTTATTCTTCGCTTGCAACGTTATTGGGGATTTCTCTGCTCAACTGCCTAAGACTGTTCTACTCTTCAATTGTTAATATATGGCTTGTTAGAGTTAGAACAAACAAATAAACAAACCCCCTCAAAATATCCTGGCATTCCAATAAAACAAACAAAAAGCAAAACAAACAAACAAACAAAAGGCTTGCTTTTTAAAAAATTTTGGCGTGGCATGGCTTGGCTTATATAATGATTGCAGGTAGTTTTGATATTAATATTTACAAGTGGTATATTAATATCTTCATCAGAGGAAGTTTCTATTATGTTAATATCATTTTTAAAAGAAAGACATACTTAGTTTTTACTTGAACATCAGAGTTAATAGGGAGAGAGGGGCAGAGAGCAAGAAGAAAGCTCTTCCATCTGGTGGTGCACTCCCTGGATGGCAGCAGTGGCTGAAAAAAGATCGGGTTAAGGCCAAGAGCCGGGGGCTGCATCCAGCCGTCTCGTGTGGGGACAGGACCCAAGACCCCGGGCCATCTTCTGCTGCTCCCACAGGCCATCAGCAGAGAGCTTGATGCATAGCGAAGCAGCTTGAACAAAAACGGGTGCCTATGTGAAGCCAGTATCACAGTGGTGGCTTTATCTTCAATGCCACAATGTCGACCACGGTTAATATATTCTTATCAGCAACTGGCTAAATAGACACACAAATGGATAGTGACCATACAAAAAAATGTTTAAAACCAGGAATTGTTAGAAAATTCAAATCAAAACCACAAGGAGACATCATCTTTCACCTAATAATAGCTATACCAATATTTAACGATAACACGCTTCCAATGGGAGACAGAGAAAAAGAGAAATTTTATGCTCTGTTGAGGGGAATGTAAATTATTATAATCATATTATAAGCAGATTGTAAGTTCTTCAAAAATACTATAATACTAAGTACCCATTAGCATTACTACTGTTCTTTTAAGAAAGTAGAATTTAGAATTCTCAAAGAGGTATCAATTGATGCTCACAGAAGAATTTTTCACAATAGAACAAATCTAACTACCCATGTCTAGATGAATAGATAAATATGGTATAAGCATACATCCAGTAGGATATCATTCAGCTTTCAAAAAGATTGTTGCCGCTGCAGCAACATGCGTAAAATAAGCCACACACAAAACAAATGCCACCTCGTTTCTCAATGTCAAACTCAAAAAGCTGAGAGTGGATGCGTGGCTGCCAGGGACGTGGTGTGGTGGGGCAGACGGACGGCAGAAAAGGGGAGAGGAGGGCGCAATGAGTTAAACGCTGTCGTGTTTCCATTACACAAGGTCTGCAACTTCTGGAGACCTGCTGTCTATCACACTTTGGCCAGTTAACACGCATCTCTACAGTTGAGTGAGTGCTAAGAGGGTAGATCATAGGCTAAGTGTTTCTGTTGGAAATTAGTAAAGAAACAAGCAATGAGTGGTTAGAGGAACCTTGGACGTGACAGAGTTCTAGCATGGACTATGCCAATGGTTTCAAGGAGTTAGGAATTATCTTCAAACTCATTGTAGTTGTCTATACAATTAAGTATGACTTGGTGTGTTTCAAAACTGTCTAAATGAACAGTCAGATCAAAAGAAAAAGAAGCTCTTGTAGAGTGTAGAAACTATGGACAAAACTTACAATCTTGCATGTAGGATATATAAAGAGCCATCAGACTGAACTTTTCAAAGGAAAGCTTACTGGAGAACAGGGAGAAGACATGGACAAACATTTCACTAAGGAGAATAATTGCAAATAATCATGCAAAATATACAGAAAACATAAGTAACTTGAGAACAATAATTGAAACTTAGAATATAAATAAGTAGGCATATGTTTAACGAAAGTACTAAATGCCAACAGGAATATGGGAAGTTTGATCTCTTACAAATTGCCAGCAGAAATGTAAAGGAACATAGTTGCCATTCTCAGCTCATAGCAGTGTCTTACAGAAATAAATGTGTACCTATTATCAAACTTAAAAAAATCACTCTCTGGCATTGATCCTATGGAGATGCAACAATATACATTTCTTGCCCCAGTTTCTACCAGTCTTGACTTCTGGCTATGGCCTAGCTTGCTCATTCAGATTTTGCAAAAGGCTGCAATTACATTGCTGGGTAGTTTCATTCAAAGGCTTTACCAGCTCCATCTGCTTCCAAACTTGTCAGTGAATGATATGTAATCTGTTGAATTACTATTCTCAAGGGCTGATGAAAGTCCAGCTCCTATTTATAGGAGCTCCATGGCAGATATGCCATCAAAGTAAGCAATCAAAGAGATCAGAGAGAGACAGAGAGAAGTGAAACCACAAAGTACTCCCTTTCAGAAAGTAAAGTTGAAACCAGTTTCTCATCATACTTGTCACACTGTATTTCTTAGCAACATGTCACATTTCTCCTTCACACGGTGGTGGTAGGGAATGCATATTATATAAGGCAATGACTAAGTGCGATCATTGGGAAGATTTTCAACATAGCACAATAGTTCATTATCTAGTATTGAGTCAACATGGGCATTTCCAAAGTCTCCAAAATCCTCATTTCATTACAACATCGTTCCAAAGCCAATTTCCCTCTGCAACTGAGGACCCTTCATTTAGATCCGTGAAACTAAAAACCCATGTCTTCCAAACACTTCTAATGTGCAACACTAAGGCGGGCACAGACTATCACTTGTAGACATTTGGATCCAGGGGCAGGGCTGTGAGAGAAGGAGGAATCACGGCTGCCGAGAAGTACTGAGCTCACTGGGCCCTTGTTGGCAGTCCCTAGACTGGGCTTCACTGGGCACACGGTAATTCCTGGACTGGGACTGAGGCCTTACGAATAGTCTTCTACAGATTGTGCTCTCTCTGCTCTACTTTGATGTTCAAACTATTTATGCCTTTTTTTAAAAAAAGTCAGTGATATGGGCCCAGCGAGGTGGCCTAGCAGCTAAAGTCCTCGCCTTGAACACCCCGGGATCCCATATGGGCGCTGGTTCTAATCCCGGCAGCTCCACTTCCCATCCAGCTCTCTGCTTGTAGCCTGGGAAAGCGGTCGAGGACGGCCCAAAGCTTTGGGACCCTGCACCCGTGTGGGAGACCTGGAGGAGGTTCCTGGCTCCTGGCTTCAGATCGGCACAGCACCAGCCGTTGAGGCTGCTTGGGGAGTAAATCATCGGAAAGAAGATCTTCCTCTCTATCTCTCCTCCTCTCTGCATATCTGACTTGTAATAAAAATAAATAAATCTTTTTTTAAAAAAATCAGTGATAGGGCCCGGCGCGGTGGCGCAAGTGGTTAAAGGTCCTCGCCTTGCACGCCCGGGATCCCATATGGGCGCCAATTCTAATCCCGGCAGCCCCACTTCCCTTCCAGCTCCCTGCCTGTGGCCTGGGAAAGCAGTCGAGGATGGCCCAAAGCTTTGGGAACCTGCACCCGCGTGGGAGACCCGGAAGAGGCTCCTGGCTTCGGATCGGCATAGTATCGACCCGTTGCGCTCACTTGGGGAGTGAATCATCAGACGGAAGATCTTCTTCTCTGTCTCTCCTCTCTGTATATCCGCCTTTTCAATAAAAAAATAATAAAAATAAATCTTTAAAAAAAATCAGTGATAGTATGTACTTGCTGTGTCAATATTTTCAGCCTCCTCTCCTCCAAGAGGATTGCAAAAAGGTTTAATATTCTCTTCCTTATTCTCTTTGTCAACATGGCTTGGAATGAAGCTGATGAAATTTCTCAAATTAGACAAACACCATACTTATAAATACCCTCTTTAAAAGATTTTTTTTTTTTTAACTTGAAAGAGAGTGAAAGAGACTTCTATCTTGCTATTTGATATCACAAATGGCTGCAATGGCCAGAGCAGGTGCAGAACAAATCCAGGAGCCTGGAAGTCCATGCAGATTTCCCATGTGGGTGGCACAAGACCAAACACTTGATCATTTGCAGCTGTTTTTCCAGGTGTGACAGCAGGGAACCGAATCAGACACAGAGCAGTTGGGACCTGAACACAAATTCCCGTGGGTTCCTGATGTCATAGGGCCCAGCTTAGCCTGCTGTTCCACAATGATAACACTGCTTAACAAATATCTTGGAAATAAAATCAATTTGCATATTGAGTTTCTACTGAAGAACAAAGCCGTGAAGTTCTAGAGAACTCGTTTTTCTAATAGTTAACTCTGAGGCCTGTCTTGACTTGTTTTAAATGGCAATTTGGAACACTCAATAACATTCATCTTTGGTCCTTTCTCAAATCTTAACTAATGTTTCTGTGGTCCCACTCTGCTTTATCTGTGAGGCACACTTTTCCAACAATGCTTGAAACCCATGATTTACTTTAGTATATTAGGCCAGGACTAAGAATTTTTGAGATCCTAAAATCAGGGGCTAATTAGTAGGTAACAATTCTCTTATTATTTTTGCTCTCATGTTTTATCACAAGTAGCAGGAGGAAGCCAGGAGCTAGACCTCCAACTTCTTTTCTACCTTCTATAGAAGAGAGCATGCTCATGTTTCTGCCAGCCAATACGAGGAGTCCTTCTTCCTGTTGTCACTAACCCATCCTCATCGTCTCATGAGTCATCGCTCAGAAGGTTCTCGATCTCATCTGTTCTGGGAAATTCAAGCTTTCCTGATCTGGGTTTTCAGCATGCTTGGAGTCCTCACCCACTTCCTGCTGCAGCCTTCATGCCTTTGTGATTGGGCATTTGTTGCAGCAGTACTGGCGAGCAAAATCTCTACTTGGATTTCGAAGGCTGCATGACAAAGTAAATGGTGTGAACATCCACACAGTAATTAAATAACTGGTAGGTTGGGAATCCAACGACACCTTCTCTGTATCAATTACACAGTCTCTTTGTAAGCTATAACAGGAGTCCCATGTGGGACCCTGGAAGATTCCAGGTCCTCATAAGCTGTTGCATTGAAGACCGTGGCCTCTCTTTGTTCTAACTGCCTCTACAATGAGAAGCCCGCAAGGAGAGGCAGCTAGAACGAAGAGAAGCCAAGGTCCTCAATGCTTGTGAGCACTTTCACCCAGCCAGGCCCCAGACAGGTCAGGAGTGCACACACAGCAGAGACCACTGCCTTCTCTCACCTGGTCTTGTCAGTGTTATCCACTAATCTTCCACATTCTGTTTGTTGGGAGACAAGCATAAAGGCCATAGCTCCAGCTGTGGAAGTACATTCCAGGATATGGGATCTCTGGGTATCATTTTAGAAACAGAGTACCAAGCCTATTTCCTACTTAGATTGTGATGGCTGACCTAGAAGAGAATAACCGGCTAACAGATCCACCACTTCCAGGTTTAAAACATAGCACCTTAGGGCTTAATCCTGTCAACACACAGCATGCTGGATTATGACTACTACTTTGAACCCCAAATCCTTACTTTGCTGCGCTTCCTACTATATATTCTCATACTCCCAAGATGGTGCCACTTACCCATTTTGTCCTCCCATTTTAACTTCACATTCAAGTGCTTTATGCATGAGCATTTACCAGAGTGTGAGCTTGTACGTGCACTTTAACCAAGATTTCCTGGGTGGATATTTTACTATATTTTTCTCCCAACCTGCTTGCATGTGTCTCTTGATCACATACAGCAGCAGTAGATTTAGGAAATACCAAAATGTCCATTATGATTCTTTGTGATGCAAAGAAAATGGCAACCTTACTGTTAGAATTTTATGATGTAAAGCTACCAGAAATTTAAAAATGCTTTATAAATCGTCTTACAGATAGTGGAATTTCATGCTTAAAACACACATGTACCTTTTCATCTGAAGATTCACAAACAGTTAAGACAAAAACCAATGCTATTGAGTAAGTGAACATTAATAATATTTTCAGCAGCGATCGTATGGGAAATAAATTCCAGCACCACGTTCAGTCATTGAGCATAACTGCGATGATAATAATGAAATAGAATATTAACTAACAGAATTCGGCATGTAAAAGTTGGCATGTGTTACCATCTGAGGGCCACACGTTGTGCCGTCGGCCACGTATGCAGCATCTGTTCCGTCAGGTGTCACAGATGACCCCGGTGCAGTGGACACACACACGTGGTCATGAGCACTTGAAACTACTGCAGCTTCAGCATCACCTTTATAAGTATCTTTGCTTGGAAAAACACAAACTAATTTTCCACACAGGATATCCCTGAAAATGGAAAGTAGAAAATTTGTTATAATTTTGAATTTTAATGATCCCAGTTTCCAACTAAGTATCCTGTGGCTAGTCATATGGATAATTTCTTACTGAGGGCACAAAGCCACAAAACAACAACAACAACAAAAGGCATCCGCTTGCAGTGCAGACCAGTTAGGAGGACCCAGATTGGTTAGCAGTGTGGCAAAATTGGAATATTTACACCAGGCTCAGCCTTAATTTCCCATGACAGTGTTTGGCTTTGTTCTGTAGCCTACAGTTTTCTTGGGAAACCTATCATACTTTAATGCACTCTTTAAAATCCCTCACTTGCAGGGTTTTTAGTGGATTCCGTGTGCCCTCTTGCCATATCGTGTTTGTCTTGTGCTAGAACCTGTGGGAAATTTGCATCCTGGGAATGCCGTACATGGTCTGTGATAAATTGTGTGTGTGTGTGTGTGTGTGTGAGAGAGAGAGAGAGAGAGAGAGAGAGAGAGAGAGAGAGAGAGAGAGAGAGGAAGGTGCTGGCAGAGGATCCTCCTCTAACCTCACTTAGTTAGACACCTTCTTTCTCCTTTTTCATAGGACCATGAAGGACAATGCTATCTTGTTAAAGATTTATTTATTTTTATTGCAAAGTCAGATATGCAGAGAGGAGGAGAGACAGAGAGGAAGACCTTCAGTCCAATGATTCAATCTCCAAGCGGCCGCAATGGCTGGATCTGAGTCAATTCGAAGCCAGGGTCCTGGAGCTCCTTCCGGGTCTCCCACACGGGTGCAGGGTCCCAAAGCTCTGGGCTGTCCTCAACTGCTTTCCCAGGCCACAAGCAGGAGCTAGGTGGGAAGTGGGGCTGCTGGGATTAGAACTGGTGCCCATATGGGATCCCGGGCATGCAAGGCGAGGACCTTAAGCACCACGCTATCGCACCGGGCCTGACAATGCTATCTTAAATCAGCCTGTGTGTGGTGCTTCTCTAAGTATTTTACATTTTTTAATTTAATTTCTGGCATATGTCTTGGAGATCAAAAGACTGTCCAGGTTCTCCTTGTATAACTTGATCTCTTTGGAGTGTTTGTAATTTTCTTCTGATGCCCTTATTTCAGAGATGAAGCTGGGTCACCTGATCATCACGATTCTTTAACTTTCCAGACCCAGATAACATCCAGGAAGCCTCTGTTACAGGACAGGAACTTCCTGTATTGGGCTTTAGGATCTCTTTGCTATGTGACTGACAGTGAAACCATATTATAATCGGCCCTATTCACATTTCAGTGTTTTGGAGATGAAAACAACGTTTCTCTCAATATTGCTGTGCTTAAAGATAAAAGCAAACAAATTCCAATCTGTCCAATACGAAGTTCAGTTTGAATTCTTAACATAATATAAAGCAGTTCCAATCTGTACCATCCGGTGCCTACTTTTCCCCTCTAACAATAAGCAAAAGCCCATTTTTTGTCCACGTTCATCTTGGGTGGTATTAAACAAAAATTAGCAAGAAAACTGAATTGCAAGGATAAAAAAATGCCTAAGAGCCATTTGAAAATACTGCCTTCTTTTAAAGATTGATTTATTTTTACTGAAAAGATAGATCAGATTTATGCAAAAAAAAGCAAAGAAAGATTTCCATCTGATGGTTCACTCCCCAAATGGCCACAATGGCTGCAGCTGAGCCAATGTGAAGCCTAGGGCTTCTTCCAGGTCTCCCACGCAGGTGCAGAGTCCCAAGGCTTTGGGCCGTCCTCGACTGCTTTCCCAGGCCACAAGCAGGGAGTTGGAAGGAAAGTAGAGCTTCTGGGACACAAATCAGCACCAGTATGTGGGATCCCGGCATTTGCAAGGTGAGGATTTAGCCAGTTGAGCCATTATGCTGGGCCCCAGAATATTTTCTTATGAAACAATTTGCTTTTCATTACTATTTTGTGTCTCTTACCAAGAAATATGTAATTTTTGTGTTTTAGAAGATAGCCATTTTGTATATACATACTTGTGTTCACAAGGTAACTGTGAATTTTTAAAACCACAGTTTCCAGATTTATCATCCATCGAATTGACTTCTTCAAAACAGGCGTAGGGAGCACCCTTAGCACCTTTAAATGGAAACATTTCAATGAGGTGATCATTCTTACATATATGTCAAAAGCAGGCTAATGAAACATAGTTCATAAAGAAGAAAATTGACACTTGGTTACACTGTTGTATCCACACGCTGCCAATGCAAAAAGAAAAAAAAAAAAAACCAGCAACAAAGGTCCCAGCAAGAAAACACAGGGAAGTATTGCACCCTTTGCACTGTTGCGCCTCTGGTGGAAGCAAAGCCTTCCTTGCTTAATGGATATTTGGTTTGACTGTGTAGTTTACTCTTCTTAATCAAATGAGAATCCAAAGCAAGTCACTTATGGTTATAACCTTTTGAATTAGTACAAATATCAACATCTTTTTTTTTTTTCTATGACATGGTATTGGTGAAGCTTTAAGTAGAGCTCAGTTTCTCAGGCTGGTTATCATAGGGAAGTTTGGAAGGTGGCACAGAATATTGCAGAACTGTGCAAATCTAAGATATATAGAGGTTCTTTCCACTTCATTAAACACAGGAGTTCAAACGTAGGAATTGAGTGCTACTGCAAAACACATCTAATGTAATGTAGCTTTGGCACTAGAAAATGGGAATAGGTGGTGAGAAAAGTATTATTAAAGTTTAAAAGGCTACAAAGCAGGATCAACAACAGAACGAAAAGAAGAAATTAGAAATGCCATGAAGTTAAATACATGCTACTGAATGACTAATGTGTCACTGAAGAAATGAATAAGAAAATCAAGAACCTTCTTGAAGAGAATGATGCTACTGTATGATCTATGACTCAGTGAAGAACTTACTGAGAAAGTGTTTTGAGGAGGTGAAACTAAATTTGAAAAAATCAAAATCCATGATACATAGTTTCCACTGCTTTTTGTTGGTGATATATGTCTTCTGTGGGCAACAAATAAATGAGTTTAGGTTTTTTTAATCCAGTCTACTAATCTATGATGTTTGATTGATGAGTTTAAGCCATTTACATTCAGGGTTAATACTAATGGGTGGTAATTTGGTCCTGTCATTTTAGCAATGGATTGTCAGTTGATTTAGTCTTCTATTGTTATTTTGCTGGATGTTTTCATTTAAGGAGATGTACAGTAACTGTGTAATGAAGATTGTCATATCCAGTAGCATGTTATTTAAGTTCATGGTATTATAAATTTTTGTTTTTCTTCCTGTTGTTGATTTTTTATTGTGGCTTTTCATTTAAGGGGATGTATAGTAACTGCGTAATGGAGACTATCATATCCAGATGAGAGGATACAATGCAGTATGCATCTCTACTTCCAGACCAAAGATGGACTCCCAATGAAACTGTTAACTGTATCTTGACAATAGGATGCTGGACTCGCTGCTATTGTCCATGCCCCCAATGATGGACATATGACTGTGTATGAAAAACTATAGTGATAACATAGGGGAACTCAGTGTGGTATTGGGGGTGGGGAAGGGTGGGGATTTGGAACTTAGGGAGGGGGTAAGGGAAATCCAGGGGCCTCTGGAACTGTATCATAAAATGATAATAATAATTTAAAAAATAAAAGAGAAGAAATATTTTCCAAGAAAAAAATAAAGTTTAAAAGGTAAGCAATCTCTGTGATTTTGAAATGTTGGAGGATATTATCTTTTGTGTAGTTCAGCATAATGGCGTACCTGCTGGCTTCACAAAGGGGTAAGGAGATAAATTGTGTCTTGGACACTCTCAGCTCCACTTGATCAGATAGCGTAAGAACTCAAAGAAACAGAGAAACTAAACTCCAAAAAAGGATTAGTTTTTTCAAAAGCAACAAGGGAAAGAATAGAGGAGGTCCAGAAGGATGTCTAGCCTATGAACACTTGGAAGGATAATGAAAGATGCTGACCAAGGCGTTGTATGGCTTTGGTTAGAGTCTTTTTATGGTGGGATAAGCTGCCAAATATTCCAACCTCAGTCACACATCCAGGATTGAGGAATAGTCATCAAACGGATTTGTAGACTCTCTGGGCCCACTATAATTAGAAACATGGCCAGGGCTCTGTGTAATTCTTGACCCCTGGGGACTCCTCACTCTCACAAGCAGACCATAATTACACTGCGTTTCTGAGTGTCCCTGTCACCTAGGCATTGTGTGCAGACTCCATTCAACCCATTTTTTCATAATGCTTCATTATCCTCAAGAAAGATGTCCCTCTAAATGAATGGAAGCAGCAAGGATTCAAACACTGCAAATGGTCAGAAATTTCAGAAAAGTTTAGAGGCCCAAAATTTGAGAGGTCTACAGTCCCAATCACATACTCTTCTCCAAACCAGAATCGTTAACTCTGAGAAAGAGATCCAACCAGGATACTCACTCACTGGCATTCCTTCAACTTGCTAAGTAAGATTCTGTTCGCTCTCACCTCCGTATTTTTTGAAAATTTTATTTAAAAGGCAGAGTTACAGAGAGTGTTCAGGTCAGACAGCCACAGGCTGAGGAGCCGTAAGACAGTCCTGAAGTGAGCGCTCTGAGAACAAAGTCTCCTTTGGCATACTGTCTGCCAAGCAGCAGTAGGCGAAGGGCTGAGGTCCTCAAATGCAGGTGTTGTCCTCAGGTAACTGGGCATGCATGCTCAGCAAAAGATCCTCTTTCTCTTCCTGATCATCTCAGGTACTCGTTAGCAGTGGAATGGGAGTGGACATAGACAGTCGCTGTAGCAGTAGAGTGAGCTGATACCCCAAAGAAGACAATAAAATCCTCTTGGGAGAACTCATCAGGCTTCTTCTACCTTTTCTAGAGGGAAAGCCGTTGACCCCTTGCTTTTACAAATCTGTACTTTTAATCTCTGTTTCTTCCATCTAGTTGTGCACCATCTCCCTCTTGACGTGGTTTCTGTTGCACAGATTGCGGGAGACAGATGGATAGATATCTTCCATTCACGGGTCACACCCCCAAATGGCTGCAGTGGCCTAATCAAGGTCAGGTCAACATCAGGAGTCTAGAACACCATTCGGATCTTACACACAGGTGGCAAGGACCCTAACTTGCACCATTCTCCACAAGCAGAGAGTTGGACTGGAAGTGGGGCAACCCGGTGTTTAACAAGGATTTATTTAGGGTCCTGGCATTGCAGGGAGCAGCGTCACTCGCAATTCCACAACGCTGGCCCCCTAACCTCTTTATGTAAGAGATGAGAATGTTTGTTTTTAAGTCATCAAGGAGACACTTTGGGATTACATTTGCTTAAAACCCATATACTTTTTTTGTTATTTTTTCCCACCCTAGGTCTTCAATAATTACCACCCAATCTCATTGGCTGTATAGTAACTAGTTCTCCAGTAGTTTTCGGTTGTCCCAGCGCATGAATATTTTTATCAATACTGTAAAATGCAATTCACCAAAAGGGTGTACTGTCAACTTCTACCAAGGATAGAGAGCTCACCGATGGTTAAGATCAAAGCAATTTGAAATCTTGTGTTCTGAGAGATTTACTGATATTATCCTCTGTGGCAACCGCCAGTAGTTCAGGTGCCTAGAAGCCCCACATCTAAAAGAAGTATGCTGTGGACTTACTGCCCACATACTAATGGTTGGAATATCTTGATGTGAGGAGGAGGAAGCAGGGGAGAAATTAAGCAGATGTAAGTCTACCAAAGATTTGGATAGCCCTAACAATAGGCTTTTTCTTATCTTTTCTTTTCTTTTCTTTTCTTTCCTTTTCTTTTTTCTTTTCTTTCTTTTTTTTTTTTTTTGGTAAAACTTCACACTTCAGTGAATTGCTAGGTGTGTGCTATGCAAGGAAAGATTTGTCTTTGTTCAGGAAACTGTAGTTGAGACAAACGCTAAAGGGGCTAAAGGAGACTACAGAACATAAATATGGAAAGTGAAATTTCAGAATGTGATCTACCATGTAAATTTATGAGTTATAAGCATGTAGTTTTCCCCAAGCAGCTAAGCACCAAAGTCAAATATCAGATCATGGGGAAAACGATGTATAGTATCTTTTATATTTAGAACACCTCAAACATGCACGAAAATAGGGCACTTTAATCTTTGGTAAGACTGTGATTCAGATTGCTAAACAACCCCCCTAGAATTGTGTGATGTATAGAACACAGCCTCTAGAGACATCAAACTTAGGATAAAACAAATAGGAAAGAAAGAGCAGTACCTTTTCCAAATGTTGTGGCACATTGGTTGTCGGTAGTTTGACATTTTCCACCATAACAGTACGCAGTGCCGAGCCTGCATAACTGACCATTCAGTGCATACGTGTCAGGAGGACAGTTACTGGAAGTTCCGTTGCAGTACTCTGTAAAATCGCACTGTTGATCAACACTCTTCCTACACGGCGTGCCTGCTACTGAAAACTAGGGGGAAAAAGGAAAAAGAAACAGTTATTCTCTTTGACTTCCTGTTCTCAGTCACAGAACAGGTTTGTTACATAAAGTAGCTGGTTAGTGATAGATGAGGAATGTCCAGGTAACCAAGATGAGTTTTCCAAAAGCAAGCAGCAGATGCAGAATCCCTAGTGGAGGCCATTTGCATTCAGTGAGCGTCTCACAGCTAAAAGCAAGCAATGACCTCTAACAGAAGGCTTGCAACAGTCCACCTACATTGCATTTCACATCTTGACGTGATCTGACTAGCCAGCATTTTGGATGTGGAATAAGCAGATTGGTGCAAAAACACTACTTCGTGAAACTTGAGAAACACTACATGAACTTATTGATCTTGGAGAGTGCTGTGGCTTGAACAGGATTTGACTCCTCAACTTACACAGATATATATGCCCCAAAGTCCTGTATTGACTGTGTTGATACATGGCATGGATCCAGTTACGGTGTCTGGGATGGGAACCTAGTGAGAAGCCGTTGGGTCCCTAGGGTATGGTCCTGGGGTATTGATCTCTTAGGAGGATTCATTATAAGTCAACTTTGACCCAGTGTCTCTATTTCCAGTTTGGATCACCATGTGCTCTGCCTTTGAAGGTGCTATACCGTGTATCACCCTCATCAGGCACCAGATCTGGGGTTACAACTTCTAAAAATGGAACCAGAAATATATCTTCCTGCCTCCTAAGTAGTTCCTTTCAGACATTTTAGTTGCAGTCATTGGAAGATGAATAACATAGAGGGATCCAGAAGCCTGTTGGCTTGGCTTTAGTCCTTGATTCCGACTGCCTAGCTCATGTGTGTGGGTCAGATAATGTATCTGCTACACTTGCAACCCTGAAATAATAATATTCTCACAGAATTTTTAGTTGCATTAATTTGGCTTAATGGAAAAAGCATCTCTGACTCTCTCATACAAATTAGCAAAATTGTTTGAGTTAACATGATAATAAATGAGCTATGAGTGAAGTGGCATGTTAATATGATAAAATGAAAGAAAAATCTTTTGCAGCCTGGAGTTTCCTGCTGCAAATACATATTTCAAGAATTATTGATACATTTCACTGGACAAATAATTACAGAGAGAATTAATTTTCATCAAACACAAATTGCAAGAAATAGCAAAAGTGGAATGGCAGGCACAGGAATATCCTAGTTAACAGATATTTGAAAAAAAATAAAGGACATAAATTGATTAAATGGTGTTAGATAAGAAATTATTTTTCTTATTTTACTCCGTCAAAAGACAAAAAAATGATGTAAGACAAAAGCAATAGTGATGTATTTTACGGTTATAATACGTGGGGATGCTTTTTAAAAATCTGTTTAGTAAAAAAAAAATGCTTGATGGGCATACACAGAGAAATAGAAAAATGTATAGAAATAGCAACAGAGAGCTCCATTCACTGATCCACTCACAAAATACCTGCAATGGTCCCAAGACAGGAAGCAAAGATGAGAGACCAGGAAGAAGCTCCTGGCTCCTGGCTTCGGATCAGCTCAACTCCGTTCATTGCGGCCACTTGGGGAGTGAATCAGTGCGCAAAACATCTTCCTCTCTATCTTTCCTCCTCTCTCTGCATCTGGCTTTACAATAAAATAGATAAGTAACAAAAATAGCTTTCATAGTTAGAAAGAATGTGTAAGACAAGTCCCTTCACAATAGTTTAAAAAATTTTACCTACCTTGGGATTGTTTTATCCAAGGATGTGAAAGATATCTACAAGAAAAATACCAAAAAGAAAGAAAGAAAGAAAGAAAGAAAGAAACAGGGAAAACACCTCCAAAATGGAAAGAATCTATCTTTGTGAACTGGAAGAATTAATATAATCAAAATTCATATTTGCATATTAAATGTGATCCCAAATCAAAGTATCAAATCTGGAAAAGAGACCCTAAAATTCATAGCATATCACAGGATTCTCCAAAGAGTTCAAGCAATTTTTAAACGATAAAGACAAATCCAAATTAAAGATATAAAGATATAAAGGGCACTTATAATGAAAATAGCTTGATATTGGCTAAGAATAGATATATCAATGCATGAGACACATTAGAGATTCCAGAAATTAATCCATGATCTATAATCATTAACCTTTTTAAAGACTTATTTCATTTTTTTACTGGAAAGGCAGATACACAGAGAGAAGGAGATACAGAGAGGAAGATCCTGCATCCGCTGGTTCAGTCTCAAAGTGGCCACCCTGGTCATAGCTGAGTTGATTCAAAGCCAGGAGCCAGGAGCTAAAACTATCACTCCCTGAATAAAAGGAAAGTATCTTCAACGAATAGTGTTAGGCCAGTTGTACCTCTGCATGTTCACACCTCATAAAAAAATCAAGTCACAATTAATCAGGGATCTAAAGCTAAGACCTAAAACCCATCAAATTACTAGAGAAAAACATAGGAGGGGGGGAACTGCACAATATTGTTATAGACAGATATTTCTTGTGTAAGACCCCAGAAGCATGGGCAACACAAGCAAAACTAGACAAACGGCATTATATCAAGTTAAGATGCTCCTGCACTGCAGTGGAGACACTCAACAAAATGTAGAGGCAATCAGCGAGGGAGAAAATACTTGCAAAGTATGCATATGCTGAAAGATTAATACCTCAGATGTATAAAATACGCAAGAAACTCAACAACAAAACAGCGAAGTTAAGCATGAGCAAAGCACATCAACGGGCATTTTCTGAAGGATTAAATACAAGAGGCCAACAGACACAAGAAAGGATTCTCAGGATCTCCAGCCATCAGGAAAAACAATAAAAACAAAAGCTGCTCAGGAAGACAGGAAAAGGATACCTTAAAACACTAGTGGAGGGAGTGTAAACTCAAAAATTCAGAAGGAGGCACTATGGAAGCTCCTTGGAAATTTAAAAATATGTAACAGCAAATATACATATATATCTGTGAGATGACCTGCTGTTTTGCTCCTGAGACATAAAATCCCCATATGAAAGAACGATCTGTATCCCCAGGTGTACGGCAATCCAACTTGGAATAGCCAGGATACAGAAATCAATCCAGGTGCCATCAACTGATGGCTGGATAAATAAGCTTGGTGTGCATGTGCAAGTTGAACTGATACCTTTTACAGCAAAATGGGTACAGCTGGAGACCATTATGATTAGCGAAGTCAGTTCACAAAAGACAAAATTCACATGCTTTCTCTGATTTGTGGCAGGTAATATACAGTGTACCAAAAATAATGCATGTGGGTGATACTGACGTTTGGAGATTTAATTTTATACAGAGTCGTTGTCTATACCCTCGGGAGGACAAGTGTGTCTTCTGCTTACTGCTGCTGAATTCTATGGCTAGTGGCAGATTAAATTCTGATTTTACAGCAACTGAAAGTTTGCAATTAGCAAAATTAAAACAGCAAAAAAAAGGAGGGCATGTAGAAGTGAGGAGGGTAGTTTGGGACCTAGCATTATGCTCCTAAAAACTATACGTATGAAATACTTGTTTGTTCCATTTTTGTAAATTAAAAAAATAATAGTAAAGAGTGAGAAAGAGGGAAGGAGAGTCTGTTGAGGCATCACCTCTGCTCCCATTTCTCCAGTACAGGATGCTGGCTTAGCCTGCTGTGCCACAACACTGACCAAAGCTTCTACTTACCAACGTATAGAAAAAAGCATAAAAAATTCTTTATGTGTTCTGCATGCTATATGTTTTATCTGTTATTCATGCTATATTTTTGTTAGGATAGTCTCACTTATTTGACTACAGGCTTTCTTTGAGTCAGTGTCTTAGCTAGTAATGTACATATCTTTCTCCTCTCTATCTGGTAAATTAGATGATAAACTTTGTGGTTTTTATATTGTGCCTGAGATTCCTTTTTTACTTGTTAGCATTTTACTTAGACACTGTGTATTTGGGGCTTTATTACACTTTCTTTCTTTTGTATTTCAAACTCTACAATTGCTCAGTTACTACCATGTTTAGTCTTTTTAATTTAAATAAATGTAACTTACTTCACATTTTGACGTACAGCATGGTCCAGAGCCACATTTTACAAAGTCTTTAAGCTTACAGGTATTATAATCACAGCAATTTTTAAATTGGCATTCCTAGAATTTCACAAAGAAAGGAGTTATTCCACTTCCATGAAATAAGATTAAGAGCTTTGCTTGTTAATCTCAATGTCAATTAAATACTCTATTGTGCTCAACTTAAAAAAAAAATTCTTTTTTTTTGAAAGCCAGAGTTACATAGAGAGGGGCAAGAGACACTGCAAAGGCCAGTCCTGGGCCAGGCTAAAGTCAGGAGCCAAGAGTTTGATCTGCATCTTCCATGTGGCAGGCAGGAACCCAAATATCTCAGGGTTTTTTTCCTGCCTGCAGGCTTCAGAGACCACTGAGGGGTTGAGGTGACGGGGTTCTTTGGCTGCAAGAACAACCAGGGATACTCTGATGAAGCATATTCTTTTCTTGTGAAGCAAGCACAACTTGTATAGACTAGGAAAGAGAAACACAGAAGGGTGTTCCCTGACAGTCTTCCCGCTCGGCAATGACACTATGATTAGCAAGAAGGCATGCATATCTGCTTCTCTGAACCCTCCCACCAAGTCACAGGTCATGTTTTGCATGCACAGCTGGCAGATGTGCCTTCAGGTCACAGGCAGGCTGGCCCGAGGCTGGAAGCTATCTCAGGCCACATTCACCACGTGTGGCTGGCAAATAGACTGTGGGTCGTGTTTGATCAACTTCTTGGAGTTGCTTATTAAAGAAGTCGCAGTGCAGCTTGTCCAAGAGACACCCCGCATCTAAGAAGTAAGAGCTTAGGAGAACAAGATTAAGAACACAAACTAATCAAGGCACAATCTCTTACATTTAGATATATTAGATACACGCCTACCTTCTTTCTTTTGCAGACATGCATTCAGTTAATTTTCCTTGACTCCTGGACTTCCATTCTCTGTTACATCCACCGTGGGGTTATATGTGCTTATTTGTTCTACTCTTTGTTGTTGTTTTGTATGTTAAAGGCTGTTATATTAAAGCAAACATGATATCTGACCTCTCGGGATTGGCTTATTTCCCCTTAGCATAATGGTCTCCAGTTTGGCCCATGTAGATGAATAGATGAATAGATGAATAAATGAATCACAGTTTCTTTATCCAATCGTCTCTTCATGGGCATTTAGATTTTTACAGTTATTGATTGTGCTTCAGTGAACATAGGGGTGAAGATTGTTTTTTTGTGTAACAGGTCTTTTGGATATATTCCTAAAAGTGTTATTGCTGGGTCATATGGTAGGTGGATTTTCAGTTGCCTGAGTATTTCCCATAGTTTCCATGGTGGCTGCTCCAACCTGCAATCCTACCACCAGTCGAGCTGGGTTCCTTCCCTCCCACCCCGACAGCAACCTCACCGGCAAGTGTTGGTGCTTTTCTGCATGTGAGCCATTCTTACTGGATTTAGGTGGTACCTCAGTGTTATTTTTATTTGAATTTCCCTTATTGCCAGGGAACTTGAGCATTTTTTCATATTTGTTTGCCAGTTGGGTTTGTTCCTTTACAAAATATCTGCCCATTTCCTGTGCCCATTTCTTGATTGGTTTGCTTGTTTTGATGTTACGGTTGTTCTGGAGTTCTTTGCTTATTCTTGAAATTAGCCCTTTGTCTCTTGTGTAGTGTGCAAAGATCTTCTCCCATTCTGTTGGTTGCCTTTTTACTTCATTGATTGCTTCCTTTGCTGTGAAGAAGCTTCTTAGTTTGATGTAGTCACATGTGTTTATTTTGGTCTTGACTTCCTTTGCTTTTCATGATTTTTCTAGGAAGTCAGTGCCCATATCTCTATCTTGCAGAGTATTTCCAACTTTTTCTTTCAAACATTTGATGGTTTCTGGGTGTAGGTTTAGCTGTTTTATGCTTTCTTTTTCCCTGGATTGTTTTCTGCTTTCTTGTAGATTCGATGGCTGTACATGTGTGGGTGCTCCATTGGTCTTCCTCTCTGTTTCTGAGTCAGTACCAGTCTGTTTTGATAACTACCCCCCTATAATATGTCCAAAGGTCTGGGATTGTGATCCCCCACCCCACTAGGTTCTTATTCTTCAGGATGGTTCTGGCTATTTGTGGTTGCATGTGTATGTGTGTGTGTCTGTTTCCAGTTGAACCAGCTATGTGAAGAATGTTCTTGATATGTTGATTGGTATCACATTGAATGTATATACTGCTTTTGGTAATACAGACATTTCAAAGATATAGACTCTGCCCATCCAGGAACTTGGTGTATTTCTCCACTTTTTGAAGTCTTCTTCTATTTCTTTGCTTAATGTTTTGTAGTTTTTCTCACAGAGATCTTCCACATTTTTGGTTACGTTTATTCCCAAGTATTTCATTTTATTCTCTGTTGATTTGAAGGGTACCATGCTGGTTAGTTCTTTTTTAAAATTATTATTGCAAAGTCAGATATACAGAGAGAAGGAGAGACAGAGAGCGAAAGATCTTCCGTCCCATGATTCACTCCCCAAGTGAGCACAATGGCCGGTACTGTGCTGATCTGAAGCCAGGAGCCAGGAGCTCCTCCAGGTCTCCCACGTGGTGTAGGGTCCCAAGGCTTTGGGCCGTCCTCAACTGCTTTCCCAGGCCACAAGCAGGGAGCTGGATGGGAAGCGGGGCTGCCGGGATTAGAACCGGTGCCCATATGGGATCCCAGCACATTCAAGGCAAGGACTTTAGGTGCCAGGCCACGCCGTCAGCCCCATGGTTAGTTCTTTTTCAGCCTTGGAGTTGTTTGTGCACAGTATGGCTGTTGATTTCTGTACATTTATTTTGTACCCTGCCTCTTTACCAAACTCTCATATAAGATCTGGCAGTCTCTTTATTGAGTATCTTGGAGGCTTCACGCTAACACAACTAGGGGAAGCTGTGCACATCATCTCAGAGAATGGCTCTTTCCTATTTCAATTTATAATAATATGCCAAATTTAAAGATTTTATTTGTGAATTTTACCTTATCACACTTTTGACTTATTTGTACTTTTCATGATAAGATCTTGGGATGTAATTCACTAATAAACCATACCTAAGATTGTTACTGTCTCTTTTATCACTGTTATTGCTACTGCCCATTATTAACTATGATCTAATCTTTTTAAAAGATGTATTTATTTTCATTGGGAAGTGAGATATACAGAGAGGAGCAGAGACAGAGAGGAAAATCTTCCTTCCATTGATTCACGCCCCAAGCAGCCACAACGGCTGGAGCTGAGCCAATCTGAAGCTAGGAGTCAGGAGCTCTTCCAGGTTTCCCATACAGGTGCAGAGTCCCAAAGCTTTGGGTCGCCTTCAACTGCTTCTGCTTTCTCAGGTCACAAGCAGGGAGCTGGATGGAAAGTAGGGCCACTGGGATTAGAACCAGCACCCATATGGTGACCCAACGCATGCAAGGCGAGGACTTTAGTCGCTAGGCTACTGCACTGGGCCCAATGACCTACTCTTTATTGTACTTTCATTAGTGCCACGTGGGGGGACACACTGGAATTTATTTATATATCAAGATGCTCAACACTCTTTTCCACCATCCTAGCATCACATTGATACCTTTGTTACATGTTTGTTAGCTTCATGTAGATAAAGGTTCACTAATTTTTCTCCCTGAGGTGGGCTATGTACACTAGCTCTGTATTTAAGGCAATGCATAATAGAAGGGTAGTGGAAATTAATACGCTCATAAGTCAAAACAGAGAGAATTATGTCTACATGCAAACAGTATAAGAATGGACTCACAGCGCAATGGCTGATAATCTCCTGTATTGTTGGGAGACACCTCAGTGGCAGCACGATGGATTTGTGAAAATTCACAAAAGACACTCATTGTAACACTGGAGTGGAGATCAACGGAGAGGGAACTCGGGATAGGGGAGAGGAAAAAAGAACAGAGACAAAGGAAACTCAAAGAACAGAAGGACCAACCTCAAGACTGCAGCGCATCAAATGCAAGAGAATGCAGACAAGCTGACTACCTCAGATTCTCTAGAAACTCTCAAATCTTAAAAACAAACACTCATGTTTAAGTCTTCTTTTGCACATGCTGCAAAAGCAAAAATTTTCTCTTAAATGTTTAAGGAACTTTTTTCTATGCTTTCACTCTTATAAAATTTTTACGCTTGCAACAGAAATGAAAACATAAAATTTCCTACCAATTTAACAGGTACTTCACTGTTCCCTCAAGTTAAAGGAACAGGCAGCATCAGCGTGGTGCAGTACTCACTGTAGACTCAGAACTGCTTTCCTTCTGCTGTTTTTCCTCTGTATTTGGTCAATCTAGTTCATTTCTGTGGTCCTCTTCCCTCAGTGGAATCACGGTCCCATCCACCATTAGCCTGGGCAGATTGGTCAACATAGGGACAATTTCCACAGGTTCTATCTGTAGCCACAGCTCTGTACCGTTGGGGTAAGATAGAAAAAAAAAAATGCTTCTTATCAATCTCTTGATTCCAAGCACTCCAGAATAATCGCAAACACGTGATTATCTGCCAAAGCTTTCCGACTATTCACCTTCACAAAATGTGTAAGGGGGAGCTGTGCGGGATCATCTGTTATGTGTGCTTCCCTTGTGAGGAATGTGACCTACAAATCCTCCAACCACGTAAGCCTTCCACTCATCTAATCCCGCCAGCATGTTAGTTGAATCTGACGTCAGATAAGCCGAGTCTTGTTTCTTTGTGAGTTCAGAACAGAGTTCCGGTTTGATTTGGATATCCTTTTGTGGACTCATTTTGTTGTCATTTTCACCCATGTTCTTTCTCAGCTGGCTTCCGTGGCTCGTTAAGTAAAACCGCGCAGGTTGTGTTTTCTGTGTAACGTAGTTGAATCTTCTTATGAAACTTTTTAATGCGGGAAGTCATCAAAATTAATCCATGACAAGGTGGAGTGTGCCGTGAAAAACATGTCTTTGCACACGTTTTCTATCATTTGCATTAAAGTTTGAGTCCAGTTTTTCTTTTGGCTTCTTTTTTTATTTTTTTTGCGGAGTCCTCTGTTCCTCCCATTGCTTCTAGATTATTAGTTTCTTCGTTTGTCGCTTCAACATTGGCTCTGCCCCTTCACCTGATTTTGGCTTATGGTTCTCCCCCTGACCTTCACTTAAGTCTTTGTTTCTTCCAGCACCAGAAGTCTCAATAAATGCTGGTGACATTTCAGACGACCTTTGGCGCCTCGAGCTGGAGTGCTGATACGGACCTCAGAGCTCTCAGAGAATGCCATTCCAGATCATTCCTTGGCAAGGTACGGGAGTCGTCCCCATGCTCAATTTTTTAATTATACAATAGTTATAATCAATGAAGCTTTATTGTTTTACTCTTTCTACAATATCTTAAAATATATAAAATTACAAGTGTTAAAGAAGTAGCATTTAAATAACAGTTTACTAGTAATATTTCTGTGTTACATAGGTGGTAATTATCACATAAAATACCAAGGTAGAACTATGTTCTTCAGGAAGAAAAACAGTGAGTTTTCAAAATAAATACGTAGTTTCTTACTTGCTTTGTTAGTAATCTGGTTACTTAAAATTTACTATTAGTGTACTATTGTGTAGGCCTGGCATGGTAGTCTAGTGGCTAAAGTCCTCTCCTTGCATGCACCAGGCTCCCATATGGCACTGGTATGTATCCCAGCTGTTCTACATCCCCTTTTGTGGCCTGGGACAGCAGCCTTGGGACCCTGCATCTGCATGGAAGACACCGGGGGAGCTCCTGGCTTTGAATCAGCTCATCCCCAGCCAATGTGGCTACTTGGGGAGTGAAGCAGCAGATGAAAGATCTTCCTCTCTGTCTTTCCTTCTCTCTGTAAATCTGCCTTTTCAATAAAAATACATTTTTCAAAAAAATTACTATTGTGAATAGATAGAGTATGCAACAAGTATATTAGAATAAGCAGGATAAATTGACATATTTTCTTCTCTTATACTTGAGTTAGTAGTGTGATGTCAATAAATGTGGGGATATGATTCAAATATTACAGTTTACCCTCAATCTCATATTTCAGTGAAATACTGAAAATGGGTAGCACATAGAGTTCTACAGATATCAAGACAAACACATTTTCTTAACTCTACAGAACATCTGCAAGCTTGCATGTTTGCTACGCACCTGTTCATTACCACAGTCACATTCCTCATTTGATTCCAAAATCCCATTACCACACACGGGCTGATGCTGATATAGTGGCCGCAAATCTGAAAGTTTCTGAAGACATTTAACGTCAAATTTTGAAACAAAACTTTTATACTCATGCAAGCTGCAGTTGCTAAAATTCTTTATGCCACTGGAAACCCTAAAACGAAGTAGCATTTCTCAAGTGAGTGACTCTTCTTAATCAACCACGTATGAACAGCGTCTCACAGAAAATCACTCGAATTTTCAGCATCACTCAGACAGAAACTTGTGATTTGTTTCAGTGTTGTTTATGTGAACTTTCCCCCAAAGCCATGTTTCTTACAAACTTAATGTGACTGGATGGAACGTGATATTATATGCAAGCCTCACTTAATGATGACAGCAGTGCTGAGAATGTGATCATTAAATAATTTTGTTTTTGAGCAATCTCATAGCGTGGATTCAAGCAAGATGCCCACACCGTTATTATGCCACACGATTTCTCTCTCTCTCCCTCTTTCTATCTACCTACTTATCTCTATAAATTGCTAAGTATACATAACTTTGATACATGAAAGTTGACAGGAAGTGTAACGGTGGAGAAGGCAAGCAATCTGTTCTAAACCCAAGTGTGATAAAGTGTGCTAGGGCGGTTCTCAAAATACTGTAACTCCCTACCCAGAGTGCTAAACTTTAGGAATTTTAAAATCTAATTATTTCGGGAGGATGCAGACTTTCCTGTGGCCTTCTTTCTGCGTGTCGTTAACCTTAACTGAAAAAGCACAACTCCCCATTTCCTTCATCTACGAAACGAGAAGCCAAAGCCAATGGGCCGATATAAACTACCTCAGAGCTCGAGCTCTGTCAGTACAAAGCCTATTTCCTAAACTATTTCTGATGTCCAGTTTTACACCTTCTAGGAAAGATCTTCCATTTCTTCCTTCTGGGTTCCTCTCAGGAAACTGTGCTCATATTCACATCCGAAGCAAAGCATCCACCTTTTGGCATATCGCTTCCCTAGCCTCCTAGCCTCACGTCTTCCACTTACATACTTGATTCTCTAATTTACTCAGTGATTATTTCAGTTTTATCTGTCATGCCATCACTCCCACTTTCATTTTATTTCTAACACCTTACACATAATATGTGGGCTCTTCAAAAAGTTCATGGGAGGCCGAATTAAATAGTAACCTTACTTTGATACAAAATTGAACTCTCTGTGTAAGATTTTGATAGCACCTACTTTTTTTGAACTTTTTAAAAGACCCTTCATATGTAGTGTCTCCCACTTAAAATTGTTCCTTTTACAAGACAGGAGCTTTAACCAACTAAGCGGTAGGGCCCCAAATTGTTCCTTTTATCACAAATTCTGGCTCATACTTATAAAAAGTTTATACTCTCTCTACTTTATCACCTCTCCAAGTTCATCAAATTCCTTAAAAATAATGTAAAATATTGATTTAGTTTACTCTGAAGTTATAAACCTGCTCTGTGAAATCTATAGTTTTGGGGCCCGGTGCGATAGCATAGTGGTTAAGGTCCTAGGCTTGCACATGACGGGATCCCATATGGGCACTTGTTCTAATCCTGGCAGCCCCGCTTCCCAACCAGTTCCCTGCTTGTGGCCTGGAAAAGCAGTGTGGGAGACCCAGAAGAGGCTCCTGGCTTCAGATTGGCTCAGCTCCAGCCACTGCGGCCGCTTGGGGAGTGAACCATGGGACGGAAGATCTTTCTCTCTGTGTCTCCTCCTCTCTGTATATCTGCCTTTCCAATAAAAAATAAAATAATTCTTTAAAAAAACTATAGTTTTTGAAAAAGTCACTTATTGGTTGTGCAAATATACATGTTAAATTGAATTTTCTAGAGCCATTCTTAAAGAATCTTTTTAAAAAAATGTATTTATTTTAAAGGAAGAGTTACAAAGAGAAGGAGAGAGAAAAAGAGACAGAGATTTCCAATTCACTGTTCACTTCCCAAATAGCCCGAACGGTTGGGACAAGGCTAGAAGAAACTTGGAAGCTAAAACTCCATCTGGGTGAACTCACAGACCCAGGAACCTGGACCACCTTCGGCTGCCTTACAGGAGAATTCACCTGAGTAAGAATGGAACAGCTGGGATGTCAAGCAGCATCTGCAAGGAGTGCCAGTTTTGGTAAGAGCCAGCTTGCCACAGAAGTGGCCCATCATGGTTTCTCATGTTGTTATTATTCTAATTATAAATTGATTGTATTGATTTCTCTAGCTCATTTAGCTGCAACATCTTAAGATAAGGATGTATTTTCCTTTTGAAAAGATTCCTTTATCTTGACAAATTAGCCAAAGCTGCCAGCACTATGTTATATTATCAGGAGTGACATCAGGTGTTTTTGTCTTGAAAAAGTAACATAACAAAAATATGAATAGCATCACATGTTTGTGCAATATTTCAGTTTCTGTCATGTTTATCCTGATCATCTCTTGCATCGGATTGCTTAATAGGTTACATGCTTTTCCAAACTTATGCTTTACTTTACAAACTTTTCTGTAGTGATGTCAGCCTAGGTCAACCTAAACTGTAGCAAGCGTTTGGGGAGTGAACCAGCAGATGGGAGTTCTTTCGTCTCCCTTCATGTTTAATAAAACACATACAAAATATTTTTTTAAAAAAATCACATGACATTTGTTCAAGTGTAACCTAATTTTTGACATGGAGATGAACGTAAAGAGCTAGCAATATATCCTGGAAACAATTGGTAAGGATACATACAATACAAAGAAAAGGGGCTTACACTGCTTCATGCCTCATTATGCAAGTAGCTCTTGGACAAGAACACTGGCTGGTGTCATCATATGTTAGCCCTAAATTGAAGCCAATCAGTTGAGCAACAATAACTGAAAATCCCTCCAGGCTGTACGCATCTGTGTACTAGAACGAAGAAGATTGAAGATAAAACCACTACATAAGGACAAAACGCAAACAAATAATAACTCCTTTGCTTCTATGTAGTTTTATATTTTAACTCTTTTAATAATCAGCATATTTTACAAGAATGTATATGTGATAACAGGTGTTTATCGGGGAGCTTTTCTTTGTAACTTATTGACTAGGAAACGTGAAACAATACTTAACACATTTTCCTTTTTGGCTAGAGGTTTCTTTCTTCCTTCCTTCCTTCCTTCCTTCCTTCCTTCCTTCCTTCCTTCCTTCCTTCCTTCCTTCCTTCCTTCCTTCCTTTCTTTTCTAAATCCCCTGTATCAAAACTCAGGGCAGTTGTTTTGGAGTTCCAGTTGTGCTCCTGCCATCCCACCCTTGGACATGTGCTATGCACATTCTGTTTTGCCATTCCACTTGCACTGCCCCCTCCACAGTTTGAACCCAGTTCCCCATTATGCTTTCCAAAGCTGTCTACTTTTTCCGTTTTCAACAAGGTATATCAGATTTAAAGTTTCACTGAGAGATGAGGCAGAGTATTAGCACTTGTAGGCACAGACACAGATAACTCCCCAAACACTGGGATTTAGCCAACCAAAGTGACCATGGGCCCTAGTCCCCAACACTTCCCTCCACAGCAGGTGCCTGCCACAGTAACCCAAACCACTTCTGATTCCAGCCCAGAAAACTTAACAACGTTCTGGATCAGCACATACAGGGTGATACGTTTTCTTCCTAAGTCAGTAACTCTTTCTCCTGCAACTTGATACACGTTGTGTTAGGAAAAGACATTTCACCAATTACCTTTTGGCAAATGAAGAGGTAGGAAGAGAAAAGGACTTGTCATAGCTAAATACAAAGTCAGGCTGCTCTCAACTTCTGTGTAGACTTCTTCACAGCTGATTTCCAGAAAAGAAAACTAATTTCTAGTCCTTATGAACCTCAGGGTATGTATGGTAAGACTTAGGGTTTTAAAATGTAAACAACCATCTCCCGCACTAGCAATTATTTTCCAGAAAGGGGGATTTCAGAACAGGGAAGCAATGTCCACTGTGTCTGCTTTAGCAGGAAAGAGCAGGGAGCTGGATGGACAATGCGCCCGTCACTTCAGACGCTACAGCTGGGAAGCAAGGCAAACCAAGGAAATAAAAAACTGCTAACTTGGATAAAAATAAGATTGAAGAAACTTCTCCTAATGTTGACTAAGAAGATGAAAAGCTATTCAGATTTCCAAGATTAGGTGTAAATTAACATCTAGCATTTGTACAAGATAAGGAAATATATTTCTGTCAATAAATCTTTCAATTAATTAAAATAAATAAAATAATAATTCTCATTTTAAAAGAGATATACAAATAGAATCCTTTTGTAGCTAATAAGAGCCATCTAATTTAGTATGTTTCCACACAGAAGGTTAGGAAATGACTTTTCATTTGAAATAGGACAGAGCACTGGATGACCAGGAAATAAAGCTGGGAGCACTTTTGTGAGGCGCTGACCAAAAAAAAGAAAAAAAAAAAAATACAATAAACAGCAAGAATTTTTGGAGGCCGTAAAAATAAGAAAAACATGAAAGTACAAAAATACAGTATGAAGCCATGAATCAACGACAACATACATAATTAACAAAAATGAAAAAATGAGAAACAAATAAAATAATCATAAAAGTAATATAATAACACTTTTCAGACCAGAAATCAATTTGTTGTATCTACATAGGCAGAACTTGACTATCACCAGCACATTGTATGAAAAGATATTGAAGGATAAAAAGATGTTAAATATCTCCAAAGAAGATTCATATCCACATAAATAAAAACAGAAATGGCCTCAAATTTCTAAAAGGAAGCCAACAAACTGTTAAATAATGGAATGAATTTTCTGTCATACAAATCGCACACAATTTTCTTCTTGTAATTTCTTCTAAGTTATGGGACATGTTTTCTTCAAAACAGAAAGCAAGCTATGGAAGAGAAAACCCATGGTGAGGGAGGGGAGAGTGAATATTCCCCAGCCACAGCTAACGTGGCTGTCTCAATCTACATTGGTAAAAGAGAAACTACCCAGCGTGTCATCAAACTAGAAAAGAGAAATTTCAGAAACATGGATAAATAGAAAAGACATTCGCAATTTTATCAAAGAGCTTAGAGAAAAATCAATGTGATGCAATTAAAATTCAGAAAGACTCGAGAGCTGTAGTGTCAGAATAGTTTAATTTTAGTTTCTTATTGGGTTTATTAGGCAGGAATCAAATGGGGTGTGTAGTTTGAGAGGGAGAACAGAGGAGACTAAGTGTAGACAGGACAGACTAGTGCAATTCTAGTTTCAGTGACAGGCATTCCACAGCCAATGTCTACACTTGAACATCGAAATACAAAGAGCAGACTCTTCTTACATAGACAGCCACAGATGGCGTTCATAAACAAAATGTTGAGCAAAATTAGTCAGACACAACAAAAAACAAGAGCACAAACCAGGTGGAACTAGCCAGGATGGTTTTCATTAAAAAAAAGGTTGAACAAAATTAGACACAACAAAAACAAGAGTACAAACCGGGCGGAACTAGCCAAGGGAATTCTTTGCTAAGGGTGTTAAGGAAACAGGTTATGATGCAATGTTCTTTTGGAATACTGATAATAATATTCTCTTTCTTGATCTTTATGATATTTATGCCTGTGTGTTGGCTTGACAAAAAAATGTTTTTCACTTTTACCTGGACAATTTCTTTATATTATTTGCCTCAATAAAACATGAATTAAACAAATTAGACATGGAATTATATGATAGTACTTTTAATTAAGGAAAAGGATTCAGGGCTATAGAATATGCAGTTGGCTTACTTGATCCTTCCAATATTAGAAATCAGAACACACTAGAGTAGTATGTTTCAACATCAGTCTATCTAAAGCTATCTCCTTTAAAACTGTTCCAAATAGTTCTAAAATAATACAGAGGATACAGATGATGTAGAAAAACATGTTTATGGATTCATATAATTTTTTAAAAGAATAAATATGCCTGAACTGGTAAGAAAAATTCGTATTTTTGCTTTTGTTAAATCTCAAGGAATTATATGGGATGCTCTATCTTTATTCTAATATTTTATTACCTCAAGTTCTGGACCACTTTTAGGGAATGCTATTTTATAACTGCTTGGTCAACAGCATTTTGCTTATATTTGCACTACTTGTGTTTGACAGTTATAATTCGTAAAGCTTTCTTAACTTCTAGTAATTTTGTCCTGATAAAATAATAATGAGTGTATAAATACAGAAAAATATTAAGTTGTTACAGTTTAACTGCTTTAATACCTATAAAATATAATATAGGTCTTTAAACACAGTAATGGAAAGAATATGTTACCTACCATAGCAACACCTGCATTGTATTTCTTACTGCATATTGTGCCAGGAAATATTGTCCCCACATATTTAGGATGCTTCCTGTAACTGCATTGTTATAGCATTGTTTTTAATTGCATAGTGATTGAGAAAAAATATATATAAGCTTATTTTAAAATTAAATCTCTACAAAAGAATTTTGACAAATGATTGTGTAATCATAAGAAATTCCAATATAGAAAATACTTATGAAAAAATTCAAATCCTTGACAAATCTATTTCACTTTTTCCCCCCATATTGATTCTTAAGAATTAGATAACATTTGATTAATTAAAGCCTAACTTAGCTTCCCTCTTCCTACAGTCACTATTTTGGTTACTACAGGTTAAAACAGAAAGAATGCTTTTATTTGTGGAGAAATTAATATGACCTCTCCTAAAAAATAAGCATTTTTGAAAGTTAGAATTTAACAAGAGGTGAAGTCATTCTTGGTCAAAGTGTAGCCATGCATTGCACTAACCTACAGTGCACAGTGCTATTGAATAATGTCCGTTTTCATATCATTAGTAAGCTAAAGGCTGTCTTCTTTAGTAAAGCTTCTACCATAAAAATCAAAAGGGTAGATCTTCTTTTTAATGACATACCAAAACACACTGTTGTAAAACTGATTGCCGTTTCCTGTGGCATAACGTATATCTGTATTTTTTTGAATATATCAATGGTACCAACAGAAAGTTGGAGAATATAATAAATACATTAAACTCGTGGCATTATTTTACGTAGTTCCTCTTTATAGTTGAACATTGTGCTTACATAAGTAAGTATGCTAAGTCATGGGGTCGGATAAGATAGCCCTGTTTCCGTGTTGTAAATCTTCGCAGTATATCATCAACATCCCCCGTGGTAGAAATCTGGTTTTCATCTGACCACACTTCCAAGGAAGACAGTACAACAGTCAATTTGAACTGGGTAAACATCTAAAACAAGGAGATTCATGGCACGTTTTAAGCAGTATAATTCCAGGTATTAAAACAGAGCATAAAGATAAACATCATTGTGGCATTTTTTAGGATTAAGAAATAGAAAACTTTAAGTTATTAACTTGTCATAATAGAACTCAAATTATAATCAATGTATTGTTTATAGAAAATTAGAAATTTGAAAAGTTAAAACTTACTGTATTGACAAGTCCAATAATCTGGATAATTTTCTGTGTCACAGCCATCATTTCAGATCCCATATAATCATACTGAAAAACAATTTTTATGCGTTTGTTTGAGATGCGAAGAACAGCTGGATTTTAGGAGGCAAATTTAGAGTATGTGCTACAAGGGAGTATAGGATTTATTAAACAATTTAGCATAATATAAGAAAGAGAAAAAAGAGAGAAGAAAATAAGTGACAAGAAGACAAAAAATTGTACACTGAAAATAGATTCTTGTGAAGTTTTCTGAAGATGTGTTCAGGAGGGAATCACTGGAATCAAGGGGTGCTAAAATTAGTACAGATTACCCTAGATCGTCGAAACATAAATTCTGTGTTACACAGACAAAATCAAAGAATTTCCCTTTGCATAGATGATCAATTTTAAAAAGTGAAAACCAAAATTAGTTGCATTACAATATACCTACTGGGAAAAAAAAGTCACTATAAAGTGCAGTGAAAATTATGTGCCATGAATGGTTCACAGATGTGTGACAACAATAAGGTGAAATATAGTATAAAATGGAGAAAGGACATGCTCACATCTGAATTTTGTAATTCTCGAAAACACATGGATTCACATTTTAGGGCTTAATGATTATCTCCACTCTTCGACTCTTGTCTGGAAAATGCTGAATATCTATCATATTGTCAATCAAAAAGATGAAAGAAAGCAATCTTTCAAATACTAGATATGCTTATCTTTGCTCACTGTTGGTCACATTTAATGAAGTGGGTGTACTTCTGACAGATGTTGTTGAAGAGTAATATATAATGTGTCCTGTCTCTGTATTGACTGAATTAAGACTTAATGTACCACATGCAGAATATTTTTTTATAAAGTTAAAAACAGATACTGAGTCTGGTAGGTGTTAGATATTACCCGTGGAACACATTCCTTAAAAATATACAGATAAAGAAAATCTCTAGCTTTTCCTTGATGTATTTTAATTGCTCCAAGTACTGGGATGATACCACATCTTAGTCTTCAGTTCAAAAATTTTCTTTAATTTTGTAGCTGAGCAAAAAAATAATGATTTTGAATATCAGGGAGTAAGTTTCTCATGTTCTCTGATCGTTTATTGAATTGTAAGTCCTCGGAGAAAACTGATTCCTAAGGAGTTCATCTTTTTATGTTAAAATGTTTGGATGATCAACTCTCATGAAAGCTGGCTCACAACTGTGGTTAACATACCCTAACTAAATAATAATGCTAATAATATCATTATAATGCTAAATAATAATACTAAAAATGACACTACTACTATTTTTACAGTGTGGTTCTATTTTGATAAAATATTTAAAAATGATGAATAAGCTTTATATTCAAGGTTATAAATTTATTATTTTGAGTTGTAGAATCCAGCAGAAAAACAATGGACAATTGTGGAAGAGAGAGGGGAGGAGAGAGAGAGAGAGAGAAGAGGAAGAAGAAAAGGGAGGAGGAGAAGGAGGTGAAGGAGAAGGGAGAAGATGGAAGGAAGGAAGGAAGGAAGGAAGGAAGGAAGGGAGGGAGGGAGGGAGGGAGGGAGGGAGGGAAGAAGGAAGGAAGGAAGGAAGGAAGGAAGGAAGGAAGGAAGGGAGGGAGGGAGGGAAGGAGGGAGGGAAAAGAAAAGGAGAAGGAGGAAGAGGAGAGAGGAAGAGGAGCCAAGAAGAAAATATCACTCACCAAATCTTTTGCCACTGTAATGTGCATTTCTAGATAATGAGGTAGCAGTCTTGAAGCAAGTTGTTTCTGGACAATTAATAATAATAATAATATGAGACTGATCATTTTAAAATTAAATATATTAATAAAAAGCAACATACAATGAAGACATAAAGATGCATATAAAAGCTTCATGATGACATAAAAATTGATTATCCAAGCAGAAAATTTCACTTTCAGAGTGTGTTGTCTCATGCAACTGCAAGAGTAGTGAGGGTTATGGGCATTCCCTGTCCTTTCTGAAAGCAGCAATGCACAGAAAAGAGGCAGGGCCTGTGCCTTTATCTGAGGACCAATGTGTATCACCGCTCACACTTACTAATGTCTCACTACTTGTCCTCTTAAATGCTATAGTGGCATCAGCTGTGACATATGGGAAATCCATCCATCCATCCAGAAACATAGGCTATTTTTCTTCCTGGAATTTCTAGTTTTTACTTATCTGGAGAACTCACAGTCTACAAAAACACTGGGGTAAATTGTGTTATTTGAGTATGAAGAATATACATACGTGGAAAATGACAGAATGCAAAATAGCGGAAGTTGTTTGATGGCTGCAGAGTACAGGCTGTGCATCTAGTTTAACATAATGTTTGTGCTAAGGTGATTGGCTACAAATTATCAATAGATTATATCACAAGCTAGTATTTGGCTATTTTACGTGAAATGTATTTCCAAGGTATTGAAATGTATATAAAATCTGGAGAAACTAAACATACATAACATTTTGATGCTGAAATATTTGCTAGCTTGGCTTAAATAGGCAAACAACCTCACCCCAGTGGGTAGACTGACTCTTTCTCGCTCATCATTTATATCTAAATGTGTACACCTGCATTAACATAGCTTTCTGTGAGAGATATTGCTCATTTTTCTCTTGAACTCTTTCATTATTTTTACATTTTATATTTATTTGAGGTTGCACTTAACACCAATAAGATCAGCTTACACTGGCATATCTACTAGCAATACCTGCTGGCGTGGACATGGGGAAAAGTACCCTACTCCTCTACTGGGGGGCAGTGTAGAGGAGTACAACCACTAAGTTAGTATGGAGAGAACTAACACAACTGAATATTGAGCCAGCAAATGACCCAGCTGCTCTGCTCTTGGGAATATATTCAAAGAAAGTGAAATCTAGGGCCCGATGCAGTGGCCTAGCTGCTAAAGTCCTCACCTTGAATGCGCAGGGATACGATATGGGCATCGGTTGTAATCCCGGCAGCCCTGCTTCCCATCCAGCTCTCTGCTTGTAGCCTGGGAAAAGCAGTCGAGGACGGCCCAAAATCGTGGGACCCTGCACCCATGTGGGAGACCTGGAAGAGGTTCCTGGTACCCGGCTTTGGATCGGCACAGCATTGGCCACTGCAGTCACTTGGGGAGTGAATCATCCAACGGAAGATCTTTCGGTCTGTATATCTCACTTTCCAATAAAAATAAATGTCTTTTTTTTTTTTTTAAAAAAAGTGAATACTACATATGAGAAAGTAACCTGTAGTCCTATATTTGTAGCAGCACTATGCACAATAATGAAGACATGGAAACAACTCAGATGCCCGTGGAAAGAACAGTGCATAAACTGTGGTGCATATACTCCATGGAACATTCTTCCACCATTAAAAATGAAATTCTACCATTGCAACAAAATGGTCCAAACTAGAGACTGTTATGTTCAAATGATTCTATCCTAAAATGACTAAAATGACAAAAATAATATGTCCCTGCTGATCTAAGATAATATTCATGCAGGGCACAAAACAAGTAAATACACAGGTAATAAGCATGTATAAACATATATTCTCACAGATAAACCATATAATGGAGGCTGACATACCTGGAAGTAAAGATGCATTTGCAGTATGCATTTCTGCTCGTGAGTAAAGGGAGGCCTCCCACTGAAACAGTTAAGTACATTAAAATAATACGATGCCAGATTTTCTGCCTTTGCCTGTATCTATAATGCCATGGTGTATTTGGGTAGCAGAATGTTGAACTTGTAACTGTTGCTGGAGGACTATACTGCTGTAATGACATTGGAGGTGGATAGTGGGAGAGGAGGAAGGGATAATGGGAGAGGAGGGGATAGTGGGAGAGGAGGAGGGTTTAATGGGAGAGAATGAGGGTTTCGTGGGAAAGGAGGGGATAGTGAGAGAGGGGCTGGGAAAAGACGTGGGAGGGAGATCAGAGAAATTCACAAACCTACCAAACTGTACTATGGAAAATAATAAAAAATAATTTTTAAAAAGAAAGAAAAAGCTCTTCCAGCAGCTTGTTCACTCCCCAAAGCCAACAGCAGGCGGGAGTCCAGAACTCCACATGGCTTGCCCCCAGGAGTGGTAAGGAACCAGTTATCCCTGCCATCATTTGCTCTCCCCTACGTTGTGCAACCTGCAGCTGGACTAAGTAAAGGAGCCATGACTTGAACCAGGCACTCTATGTGGGCTGTGGCAGTCTAGAATGGCAGTGGACCATACCAAATGCCTGTTTTTCTTTTACATAACTTTAAAATGCATTATTCTAATACTTAATAGACTCTTACAAGAGTGACCATAAAATTCATTGCCTTAAACTGAAAGATGTGGAATGCAGAAGAGGATAATGAAAGTAATGCAAGTACTGACATTCATAGTTAAGGGCCTTGACATGATACTCAGTGTGTAAATCCTCACCTCATAAGCAACGTAATCCCACATGGGTGCTGGTTTATGTCCTGCCTGTTCCTCTTCCCATCAGCTTCCTACCTGTGGCCTGGGAAAGCAGTGGAAGGTGGCCCAAGACCTTGTGGGAGACCCGGAAGAGGCCCCTGGCTCCTGACTTCAGATCGGCTCAGCCTCAGCCTTTGTGGCCACTTGGGGAGTGAACCAGCAGATGGCATATCTTTGCCTCTCCTTCTCTCTGGAAATCAGATCTGCCTTTCCAATAAAAATAACAAATCTTAAAAGAAATAAATCGATATTTAATGACTCAGAATTTTGTATTTGGTAGGTATTAAAACACTCCAACAGAAAATTGATTTTTAAAACTAGATATATTTTTCCAAAAGCTAATATGTATGAGGACATCAAAATTCCTTTGCTTGGCATTAACAAGGGCAAGCATTTAGTGAGGTGGTTTGGATGCCGCTTGTGCCATCCGCATCCATGGTAATGTGCTGCATTCCAGTGCTACTAGTTCCTCTATATCGTTAACACAGTATAGTTCTTCATACACAGTCATATGTCCATCACGGTGGGCATGGACAATGGCAGAGAGTCCAGCATCCTATTGTCAAGATACAGTAAACAGTTTCATTGTAAGTCCTTCTTTGTCTGGAAGTAAAATGCATACTACATTGTATCCTCACATCTGGATGTTAGTCTGCATTTCCCCTGAAATGAAGTCATAATACAAAGTCAACAATAGAAAGAAAAATAGAAACTTACAATGCCATGAAGTTAAATGACGTGTTACTAGATATGACAGTATCCATTACACAGCTACTATACATCCCCTTAAGTGAAAAGCCACAAAACAAAAACAATAGAAAAAAAAAAAGAAATTAACACCACAAAGTTAAAAAACATGCTTCTAAATGACTAACATGTAGCTGAAGAAATGAAAATCAAGAACCTTCTTGCAGAAAATGATGCTATTGTATGTATGAGTCACTGAAGAATTTAATCAGAAGAAAGTGTTTTGAAGAGATGAAACTAACAGAAAACATCAAAACCACTGTGTAAGGTGAGGAATTAAGCCACTAGGCTACCGTGCCAGAGGCCCCATGGGTCTTTGTGTGTTTTGTTTTGTCTTGTTTTGTTTTATCTAATTTTTATTTGTTGCAGTGGCTGTACCAATTTTTCACTGACAAAGCATAAGATGCCCAGGATTTTTTCTTTCTTCAATCTTTCTGGCCTCTGATATAGTGACACGTAAATTCTTTTAGTTGCTCTGATGGGTATGTAACAATCTCTGAGGAGGATTTTAATTTGCACATTCCTAAACATGAATGATGATATACACATTTTTCAACATTTTTTGTTTGTTTCTGTTTTCTTTGCTTTTTCTACATCTATATGGTTTCCAGGGAAATGTCCCCTCAGGTTTTTCTCTATTTCTTAACTGTGTTTTTTGTTTTTTTTTTTTAACTTTGGAGCACAATTTTATATTGTTTGGATGGTAAGTTCTTACTATGATTCATTTTTTGCTCATTCATTGATACTATCAAATTTAGGTACCTACCATTGTTCACAATATTACTTGCTTGTATCTGGATGTATCCTCACTCTGTTGAGCTAAATCTGTGATCCCATTGAATCCCTGGTATTGGCACTTTATGTCTTAATTTTCTTTGTTAATCTTACTCCAGACTTATCAATCTTATTATTCTTTTTGAAGAATTGGATCGCTTATGTTCACTAGTTTCCTTTGCTGATTTGTTTCCCATTTCATTGATTTTTATGAAATGTTTAAGGTTTTAAGGTTATTTTGTTGGGGAGACAAAGAGGAATGTGGAGGTCGCGTCTTATGAAGCTCCATGGCCATACAAAGCTTGATAAACTTTAAATGTCTTCTGTGTTCTCAATGATACATCTAACTCATTGATGAATCGTTGTATTCAAAGTCCATGACAAAGCTGACACAGCACTGAATTTGTTGAACTATTTTTTTAAGCTACCTTCCACAGTGTATCAAGAGCTATAGCTTTAGTTCTGGTACCTTTGGATGATGAGCAAGAATTTTTAAAAAAAATCAGTCAATGATATCCATAAAGATTGAAAAAGTGATTTGTAAAAAAAAAAAATCGACAATCATAATTAAGTATCATCCTTAAGCAAACTAACTCAACAAATTTTTAGCAAGTACAGAAGGTATTATTTTCATCAAATATTTTAATTTTCACTCACTTTGCCCAGAAGTACTTACTGGAAAAAGAAATAAGTGATTTTTAAAAATCATAGTGAACCTGGTATACTGGTTCAATGGCTAAATCCTTGCCTGGCATCCAGGGGATCCCATACGGATGCTGATATCTTGGATGCTCTACTTCCCATCCAGCTCCCTGCTTGTGACCTGGGGAAGCAGTAAAGGACAGCCCAAAGCCTTGGGACCCTGTATCAGTGTGGGAGAACCGGATGGGTTTCCTGGCTCCTGGCTTCAGATCTGCTCAGCTCTGGCCATTGCTGCAGCTGAGGGAGTGGACCAGCAGATGGAAGCTCTTTCTGTCTCTCTTGTTCTCTGTAAATCTGCCTTTCCAATACAAATAAATAAATGTGTTTTTTTAAATTATAGTACTTTTCTGGATTTAGGTCAAAGTTGAAAAACTGTAGATGAATATTTTTATTGTATCTACCAAGAATCTGATCCTGAAGATCCATCTGTGGACCTAAATGTGACAAGCAAATTGGCCTAGGGTGTGTGAGAGAAACTAAGCATTTATGCATCTGCTGCAGATGACGATAAGGGGGTAGACTGGTAGAGGCTGTGACTGGCTGAGCATCCACAGCTCTGGTTCATGTTCACATCCAAGTGTGAAGTCCCTGGTAGGTTTCATAGCCTCTGCCAAGATTTTCCTCCAGGAACTGCACTAGCTTCTCACTATATAGGCCGGCAAGAAGATTAAAGGCATTCCTTCACGATTGTCAAGTTTGTGGTCTAAGGATGAAACCTGCTACAACTGGGGAAGGAGAGATGGACATATGTAACATAGCTCGAGCTCTGGAGAGAAAGAAGGAATAGATGCTAAACCCTGCATTACATTGAAGGAGGAGGATAGAGACATTTGTGATCATCACATCCCCAAAGCAGTATGCATTGTGCCTTCTGAACACTGGATTTTACATAGAACATCAGGAATGTTCCTGTTCCACACCCATGTGCTATGTCACAATGTGTGAAAATGCATAGTGAACTTATTCTCGCTCATGGGGGAGACCCAGGTGGAGTTTCTGATGTCTAGCTCTGACCTTGCCTGCTCCTGATTGCTTCATATACATGGCTAGTATAGCAATGGGCAGAAGATCTTTCTCCATCCCTCTCTTTTCTTTATCCAGCACAAAACAAAGCCACGTAAGGAACAGGCATAGCTGTAGCAAACCATTGCTCCCTATGAACATAAAACATCTAAAGAAGCTCTGCTATCCTGAGGGTGGTCATATGAACAACAACCAGCAAGCAGACCTATCGTATGGCTGGTTAAATACACACCTCTGAAATCCTCGGTGGAAGGAAAAGCATAATGATATTCATTCTAAAAAATATTAAAATTACATTTAATGTGTTATGCAAGAAATCCTACAGTTAGAAGCTGAGAAAAACACGTAGCAAGGTGCTACTCACAACACACAGAGTTTACAGGACCAGTTCAGAAAAAAAAAATCGCAAAAGCAACAACAACTACAATCCCTGAAGAGTGAGGGAGTAGACGCAGGTTTCTGGAATCTTCACAGTGTATTTTTTGGTATTTCCAATATTCAACAAAAGCTGAGGGACACAAAGAATCAAACGGATATGGGCCACATACAGAAAAAAAAAAAAGAAAACGAATCAAGATATTTGTCTTTGGAAAAGATGAAGGGTTGGACTTATTAGAAAAAATATTTCATTATCTATAATAATTGCAAAGACACAATGGACATGCTGCATAAACAACTGGTGTTTAAATACTTTCCTAAGTAGAGAAAAATCAATAAGGAGTTAAACACAAGTGACAGGAATGAAATTCGAATTCTGGAATTGAAAGATGCAGTAAGTGCCATTAAATATCCAGCACAGAAGCATAATAACAGATTTAAGCACCAGAGGAAAGAACTGATGGACATGATGGTAGGTCGATTGAGAAAGAAAAAGCAAAAGGAAGGATGGAGAAAAATGAATAGTCCAGAAAGTTGGGAAACAATAATCAAGCATACTGTCATATTCACAAGGAGAATACCAGAAGGAGAGGGACAAGTTAAAGGGACAAGAAAATAATCCAAAAATTAATGACCCCAAATCCCCAACTTTGATAGAAAAAAAAAAGCTAATTTCTGTATCTGGAAAGTTCTATGAACTCCATGTAGGATATAGAGACCTGTTTATAGACACATTATAAGCAAATTATCATAAAGCAAAAACAGAAACTTAGAAAACATTGAATAAGTTCATTATGTTCAAGGAATTTTCATAATAGAAATAGCTCATCTTTCATCAGAGGCCATAGGAGGCAGAGGTGGGACTGAAACAGAATACTAAAAGAAGAAAAACAAATCATTAACCAATTATTGCATATACCCAGTCTACCAGAGAATTGACAGTTCAATAATATACATATAACTACATTGAAAATATATATTCAGCCAGCATATAAAGCTGTATAGCTATATAGAGTGACATAAAATCAAATAATAAAGCTTTATAGCTTCATGATTTTAACTTTATAGAGTGACAGAGAGCTGGAGAGAGAGAGAGAGAACCTTCCATCTGCTGATTCACTCCCCAGCTGGCTGCAATGGCCAGAGCCAAACCAGGCTGAAGCCAGGGACGAAGAACTTCTTCCAGGTTTCCCACGTGGGTGCAGGGAAGCAAACACTTGCACCACCTCCTCCCGCTTTCCTGGGCTCTTAGCAGGGAGTTCCGCCATAAGTGAAGCAGCTGGAGTGTGAACCAGTAACACAGGCACCAGTGATACCCGCTACAATATAGTCACTGCTCTCCCCTTTATATAAATATATAAGTAATATATATTAAAGAGTTATTGATTTTTTAGAGAGTCAGATTTACAGAGAGAAAGAGACAGACAGGAAGATCGTCCATCTACTGGTTCACTCCCCAAGTAACTGTAATGGCTGGAGCTAAGCCAATCTGAAGCCAGGAGCCAGGAGGTTCCTCTGGGTCTCTGATGCTGGTGGAGGAGCCCAATGATTTGGGCCGTCCTCCACTGATTTCCCAGACCACAAGCAAGGAGCTGAACAGAAAGTTGAGCAGCCAGGATATGAACCGGGGCCCATATGGGATTCTGGTGCATGCAGGACAAGGACTTTAGCCACTAGGCTACTGTGCCAGTCCTCCAAACTATATTTTTTTTAAAAGATTTGTTGTTTTGTTTTTGTTGTTGTTGTTGTTTTTTGGGGGGGAAAGGCAGACTTACAGAGAGATGAAAAGAAAGAAAGATTTTCCATTTGCTGGCTTAATCTCCAAATGAACTCAATAAACAGAGCTGAGCTGATCAGAAGCCTGGAGGCAGAACCTCGTCCATGTCTCCCATGTGGATTCAGTTTAGGGCATCCTTCACAGATTTCGAAGGCCATAAGAAGAGAGCTGAATCAGAAGCGGATAGGTGCCCCTATCGGATGCTGACACTTTGAAGGTAGAAGATTAGCCTGTTGACTACCCTGCCAGCCCCAATTCCAAAATATTAACTGTAACTTTCCAAGGTCCTGGAATAACTGTGATTCTGTTCTTATGTCAACAAACATTTTCAAAAATGTGCATTTTGTATGCAACAAATGTAGAAAACAGGTGTGTTACATAATATGTTACAAAGCAGTAAGCTTAAAATATTGTAATATTTAATTTTATGGAGCTTGGATGATTCCCTCCAAGATATGGAAAAGACGCAACATTTAACACTGGGCTTAGTCATCACCTAGTTGCTTTCTGGGATTACACAAATTCCGTAAAAGTGTTTTGCTAGCATGTCACCCCATCAGAATCGCAGGTTACCTGTGGGCTGAGATGAGCTGTGGAAGGGCGTCCCTTCTGCCACATGATGCTGTAATTCCCTGCTGACATCGACACCTCTGCGTTGTCATTTTTCACTTGATAAACTAAGTGCTCAAATCTCGCTGAGGATCCCAGTGGTTCAATCCAATAGCTGACGTTTTCAAGCTGGAGAAATCCCCTGCATGTTCAGAAGGAAATAAGGATGTTAAAGATGCAGCAAATGATGGCGAGGCTGCAGCTGGCATGTTATGCCAGGATCCCACAGACACTGCACCTTTGTCCTTCCTATGTGTTTCGGGCTAGTGTCAGTAACAGACTGCACATCTTGCTCCAGTTTTAAGGTAATCAACCAAGTGAAGCGTAGCTTGTCATTTCCAGAAGGCAATCCCACTATTCAAGACAAATTAAGGCCACAATCTGCCAGGAAATAATGTGCTTGCTGAGATTCCAAAAGTAAGGTTCTGGTTCTTACAGAGAGTGGGAGAGAAGGCAGTAGGCATGTGACAGAGCAGGAAAACTACATCCAGAGGATGTCAGTGTTAGAAGTGAGCAGGAAAGCATTCTGGAAATAAGGCAACTAAAACCAAACAAAGTTAAAAAAGACCTGTGCTGGACCCTTCTTCCTCTTATTAATGTATCATAAGTACATTTCCCAGCATTAATGATAACATCACTTCTCCTACTCCTTGCATGAGCATCACTGACAGAGAAGGAGAGGAGGAGGAGATGGAGGGAGGGAGGGGGAGAGGGGGAGAGATAGAGAGAGAGAGATAGAGAGAGAGAGAGATTGATTCCAGTCACCAGCCAATGCTTTACTTCCCAAATGAATGTCATAGCTGGGGCTGGGTAGGGCTGAAGCCAGGATTTTGGAATTACATACAGGTCTCTCATCAGGATGATACGAGCCCAAGCATTTTTCTGGGATTTGCAGGCATATTGGTAGGAACTGGACTGGAAGTGCAACCGCTGGGACTAGAACCAGAACCCATGTTTGATGGTTAGCATTGCAGCTGAATGCCCAACCCCCTATATCACAATGTCAGCCCTTTCGAAATTAATTACTTTATGTGTAGTGCTAAAGCGTTCATTGAAATATATAATACAGATATATTAGGCTTAAGCAACTAGTTATTGCCATTGTCCCTGACTATTCTAGACACCTGATAGAGGATGCAACAGTAAAATTTAGGGATATTTTCCAAAGTTTCGTCTGGCGGCACTATGCTTTCCTTGGGGCCATTGTAAAAGATTCTTACAGATCTGCACACACCCTAAGCTCTCACTGAGTCCTGGCTGCTGCACACGGAGCTTCATGCTGTGGCATATCCTATGCCATCCAATTGCGGATTCTCTAAAGTTTTGTTACCTGAGACCAGAGCAGACACTGAGGGCCACAGCTGAATTTGGGGATTCTGCAACATATCCTTGGTAATGGCAATTCATCTGAAAACCAAGACAAGAGGATCTAGGAATTCTTTACAATCAAATATATTTTAGCAGACTCAAGCTACTAAAGCCTTAATGAGATCATTGTTTATAAAGAATTGGTCATGCAAACTTTCAGGAAAAGGAGATGTTGGCAGGCACTCTTTATTTTGAAGCACAGGTGCTCATGAATATTCTCTTAGTTTCCATCTTTAGCATAGGCCATGGCTACATGTCACAACCAGCCCTAGGTCAGGCTTACATAGAGTAAAACTTTCAGGATGGAAAGCAAAATATTCCAACAGAAATCACATGTTAATTACAGAAGATTAATAAATGTTTTAGACATCTGACTGTTACCATCCAATATGAAGTCTCAGAATGCAAAACTCTGGTCTCATTTTGTATATAAACCAGTAAGTTCTTGGGTAAGAAGGAGCTAAAAAAAAAAAAGAAGAAAAAGAAGAACAATTTGTTACAAAATTAATCAAAATGTAGAGTAAAATAGAAATCATAACGGCAAACAAAGAACCACATTTAACTTGAGTAGTCAGTACGGCATAGTAGTTAGAATTTGTAAAAGTGGTGTAACAAAGGGTTCAGGCTTAAAACTGTGAGTCTGTGTAACTCGTGCGTGTGTGGGTGTGTGTGTCTTCACTCAACGTGTATTTCCTGAGAGTCTACAATCTCATAGATCCAGGTCCTGGTACCAAGCGAGGAAGGACAAAATCCCTGGTTTTCATGACAGCCAGGGACAGATGTTGCTACCAAGTGAGACGATAGTAAGGATTGGATGTGTGACGTGATGATCCCAGAATGTAGACAGGACAGCACGGAAAGGCTCACTGAATCTATGGCTGAAGACACCAAGTCCATGTCGTGTATACTGGCATGGGAAGGAGAAAGAAAATCAGGGGAAAATTTAAAAACCCTGTGACATCAACATGCCTGCTGCATCCAAGAGTTTATGGAGTCACCAGGTTTGGGCAAAATGTAGAAAGTAGCATGGAGATAACAGAAAGATGTCATCTCAGAGAGGAGAACCTACTGGAGGGTTATTTACTTGGTGAGTCCTCTTTTTTCTATGTAATTCCCAGCATGCTTCACTTCCTCTGGGGATTCTAAACTTTCTCTTCTAAAATTGGTACAGTCAGGTATCCTTGAACATCCACTCGCATTTCATCCCAAATTTAGCAAACTGATGAGACAAAAATGCTTTATTATTTATATCCATCAAATATCTCCTATCGGTGCAAATAAGCACGCAAAAATATCTTTACGTTGTACTATACACTGCTCCTGTTTCTGCTACAGATAATTCCTTTCATTCACCCTCCTGGGAAAACATTTATCGTTATTCAAAAGACATGCAGCACCACCAAGTATGTGTCTAGTATAATTTAAGTGGAAACTTCAGGGGGTATTATCAGCTGCACACAGAAAAAAAAAACAAAACAAAAGATAGTTCAGTTGCTGCAATTTTGCATGCAAGTAACTGCATGACACTCATTCTTGAGACAGAGTGGCTTCAATGTTCATACTTTAACAGATCTTCATCTTGGCCTTCAGGTGGTTCAAGAATTGTGTCAATATGGCAGCAATCTGCTACAGACAAGTACACTGTCCATTTCATCAAGGAGTTCATCAGAAACCCCTCGGCTCCAGGCCCGTTCCAGCTCAGTACCGCCATCTGCTGTCCCTTGACCATAGTGCTTCTGCTACTTGTTTTTTTTTTTTTTTTTTTTTTTCATCTCTCAATATGTTTTTTTTTTTTTTTATTGTTGCTTACATTGTATTATGTAGTACAGTTTTATAGGCGCTGGGGATTCCCCCCACCCCTCCCATACCCCTCCCCCCATGGTGGATTCCTCCACCTTGTTGCATAACCATAGTTCAAGTTCAGTTGAGATTCATTCCTTGCAAACACATGCCTAGCATAAAGTTCAGCGTCTTATTGTCCAGATAAGTTCAGTGGCCTCTTGGGGAGACCTTCTATGGTCTGAAGATAGGTCTAACAGAGTAAAGATCCGGTCAGTTAAAAGCCCCAACAAGGCCTCAGTATCAATATACAACATTATGGAATTAATTGACATAGTATTGGGTAAACAATATGTTAAAAATAATGCAAGTTCCATTCTTCGAAACATCTGGGTTGAGACAGTATCAATGACAGGTTCAAAAAATAACAAACAACCATACAAAAATTACAGGTTAAATCAAGGCAAACATGTGGTATCTAATCTTTTGGGATTCACTCATTTCCCTTAGCATTATAGTTTCCAGTTGTGCCCATTTAGCCACAAAGAACTGCCTCTTTGTGTGTTGTGGTTCACCTGAGACTTTGAAGGAAGGGTGATGTGACCATTCTCCTTCCAATCCTATAGAAGGGGTAGCAACCGGAAAGGGTCCTTTTCTCCTTGAAGACCAGGATGGCAGGTGTTATTGATGGGACAACACATCAGAGTTGTTGAAAAGGTGGAACTTCGGTGTTTTTTTTTTAAGATTTATTTTTTATTATTTTTATTACAAAGTCAGATATGCAGAGAGGAGGAGAGATAGAGAGGAAGTAGAGCTGCCGGGATTAGAACCGGCGCCCGTATGGTATCCCGGCACATTCAAGGTGAGGACCTTAGCCACTAGGCCACGCTGCTGGACCCCTTTGGTGCATTTTATATGTAAAATATCTTCAACAAAGTTGTTACAGTTTAGTACTTAATTAATACATAGCATATAATTAATACATGATGAAAAGGATGCTGCTGCTTTAATTTCCCAGCAGTAGTACACCAGAGTGTTGAATTCCACCATTTAAATGCTACACAAAAGCAAAAAGAGCAAAACTTAAACACAAAATTGCCTGTTTTCTAGTGGGAAATCATGTCTTACTGTTTCCTGAGATGCAGAGTGCACGGTTTCCCATCAATTGTAATGATGTAAGTCACCTACAATAAAGAAAGTAAAAGTGACTTAGAAGATCAGGAATAAGTATAGTGATAGCCTGATCAAAAATGAAATGTTCTGGAAGCATCCAGTGTTCGGATTATCAGTGTCATAATAATTGCTTCCATATATATAAACCATAAATAATATCTGTGCACATATATGCACATATGCATAAATATCTATGCATCTGACAGAGATATTTAACAACTAATTTTGTAAAGATTTATTTATTTTTAGTGGAAAGGAAGATCAGATTTTGGAGAGAAGGAGAGAATGAGGGAAAAATCTTCCATCCACTGGTTCACTCTCCAAATGGATCCAACAGCTAGAGCTGAATCAATATGAAGCCAGGAGCCAGGAGTTTCTTCCAGGTCTGCCATGCAAGCGCAATGTCTCACGGTTTGGGGTCATCCTTACTGCTTTCCCAGGCCATACACAGGGAGTTGGATAGGAAGTGCAGCAACTTAGACATGTACCAGTATTAATATGGGATCCAGAGCTTGCAACGTGAGCCATCGTGCTGGCCCCCCTTAACAATTATTAATATGTAAAATCGGAATTGATGATACATGCACTTTTGTAACTATTAACATATAAAATATAAAATGATGAATGGATGAACAGTCAGTGAGAAACAAACAGCACCTTCAGGGATGGAAGTGGTGACAGTGTTCATCAGCCTATGGTTTGGCTTCCCAGGACTGACTCGGCTGTGCCCCGGTTTGCTGCAAGTCACAATTCCTTTAACAGACATGCCAATTTCAGATTAGACCTTTGATTCTAAAACGGAACAGAGTGTGCAGGCTTGGTACAGAACAACTGAGCAGCACTGCTTCTGAGTGGAAACACCTGAGAAGCACAAGCAACGTGTAAGCCGGCATCTGTGTGTACTGGCACGTGCGTGACCAAGGGCGCAAAAATCCTAATTCTAGACCTTAAGGGAAACGGTCCTGGTTGTGGTTCATGAGATATCAGAGACTCTTAACCGAATGCTTCGTCTCTTTCAGATGCCGGCTCCTAACCCGTGCAGAACATGCTGTTTGTGCGCCACTCACGTTAAGATCAAGTCACCTATTCTCCTTCAGAGAAACTGTATTGTACAGATTATGTATTTATATATGTAAGATAAATACAAAATATGTGTATATTCATGTATATACAAAATATATACATAAATATATACATAGGTATAAACACACACAAAAAAAATGAAACAAAACAGACAAAAAGACCAAAATCATTTTTTGAAGAATTAAAGAAAAAGCTCCAAGAGAAGTTCGAGATAAATTAAATACAAATGAAATGGAAAAAAAAAAAGAAACATACATGGGGGTGCATGAAGACATTTGAAAAAGAAAAGACCGCAGCAGGAAAAGTTTATAATAACAAAGCAGAGGGCCCAGCGAGACAGCTTAGCTGACTAATCCTCCACCTCCAAGTGCCAGGATCCCATAAGGACACTAGTTCATGTCCCAGCTGCTCTCTTTCCCACATAGCTCTCTGTTTGTGGCCTGGGAAAGCACTGGACAATAGGCCAAAGCTTTGGGACCTTGGACCAGCATGGGAGACCTGGAAGAAGCCTTTGGCTTCTGGCTTCATATTGGCTAAGTTCCCACTGTTGCAGCCATTTGGGGGAGTGAACCAGTGGATGGAATAACTCAAAAGAGCTAAACCAATAGTTCCCTTAAAAAGGCAAATACAAAGATAAAGGAGAAAAAAAGAAAAGAAAAACAGAACATGGTAAGAACTTTCTGAAAATATCAAGAAAATGTTCAAATTCTTAATTAGCTGAACTAGGCTTTAAAACAAGAGATATTCAAGTAAAATCAGGCAGACCAGATATTACAGCTGATGCTACAGAAATCAAAAGAATTGAGAATATCACAGACAAAAATAGGCAAAATATTTAAAATCCAAAGGCAATCACTAATTTCCCCAAAATATATACCTATTACAAATAGTTCATAAAACTTAGATATGTAAATGTTATTCATATAAATATTGCAATTTATATTACATGTAATATATAAATCTATAAGATAATTATATACAGTTGACATGCAAAATCTAAAATGATGATATACATGATTTAGCAACTATTATTAATATTACATTTTATATATGATAAATATTTATATAAGTATTATACATAATATACATCATATTATATATCATGCTATATATGCGCATAAACATAAATTATATATATACAGTATGCAATATATACAATTCCAAAATATATATCATGTAACATACTATATGTTTACTATACTAAACATATGCTATATATTTATATAAATATACTATATGATACATATGCCAACATGTATTATATCAATGCATATATCAATATAACTTAAATGCAAATCACATAAAATAATAATGAAAATATTTTATGTCTATAATAATTATAAAATATAAATGATATAAATGTAAATAAAGTCTATGTATATTATAGATGTCCATACTTTATATAAAAACAGTGGAGTCAATACAGTATCACAGCAGATTAATTGTTCACCTGCCATCTGCTGCCCTGGCACCCATATGGATTCTGGTTTGTGTCCTGGCTGCCCCATTTCTGACCCAGCTCTCTGCTTATGGCCTGGGAAAAGCAGCAGAAGATAATGCAAAACCTCGGTGACCTACATGCATGTGGGAGACCCAGACAAAACGCCTGGCTTCAGATCAGGTGAGCTCTGGTTGTTGCAGCAATTGAGGAATGAACCAGTGGGTGAAAGTTCTCTCTCTCCTCTTTTTGGTCTTCCCAACAAAGATAATTAAATCCTTAAAAATTATGAACATATGGGCCTGGCGCGGTGATGGCGCAGTGGTTAAGGTCCTCGCCTTGCACGCCCAGGATCCCATATGGGCGCCGGTTCTATCCCCGGCAGCCCTGCTTCCCTTCCAGCTCCCTGCCTGTGGCCCGGGAAAGCAGTCGAGGACGGCCCAAAGCTTTGGGACCCTGCACCCGCGTGGGAGACCCGGAAGAGGCTCCTGGCTTCGGACCGGCATAGTATCGGCCCGTTGTGCTCACTTGGAGAGTGACTCATCGGACGGAAGATCTTCCTCTCTCTCTCTCCTCTCTGTATATCCGCCTTTCCAATAAAAAATAATAAAAAATAAATCTTTAAAAAAAATTATGAACATATATCCAAATAATAAGACAGTTTAGTGATAATAGCAAAAATATCAAAGAAAGCAAAATCCAAGACCAGGTGGCTTTGATGATGCTTTCCATCAAATATAAAATTTAATTACTTATAAATAAATACATGCTTCCTCAGAGTGGATGTTTGGCATAGCGGTTAAGATGGAGCCAGAGTGGGCACAGTAGGTTAAGTGCCCCCCAGTAGTGCTGGCATCTCGCATGGGCATTGGTTCGAATCCTGATTGCTTAACTTGCTAGCCAGCATTTTGTCAGTGTGTCTGGGAAAGCAGGTGGCCCAAGTCTTTAGGTCCATGCCCCCATGTGGAGGATCAGGAAGAAGCTCTTTGCTCCCAGTTTTGTTCTGGCCCAGCTTGGCTATTCTTTATCTGTGACCTATTACTGGTGGTTGAAGTGTACCATCATGTCAGGATATCATAACTGATAATTCAATAAGTTTGCATCTTGTTCTTACAGCCTTCTCTTGTACTCTAGAGACCATGGCAACTAAAATAGCATTCTGGGAGCAGAATGCCTAATACAATGGAGGAGGCGAGGCTTGTGTTGTGGCACAGAAGTTCCCCTGTGTTGATCTGCTTCCAGTATGGAGCTGGTTTCACTCACTGTTGCTACATTACTGGTCCAGCTCTCTATTAGTGCTCCTGGAAAAGCAACTGGACACCTGGTGCCCATATGAAGGACCCAGATAAAGCTATTTGTTCCCTGTTTCAGGGTGGCCCAGCCACAGCCATACAGGGAATAAATCGGCAATTGAAGATTTGATTCTCTCTCTTCCCACCATTTCTGTTTCTTCTTTCTATGAGCTTTCAAATAAATAAAAGAAACCTTTAAAATAATTTAGATGGTACCTGGTCCTCTACCATAAGATGACAGAGGAAAAAAAAAAGAAAATGAATTTTGTACAAAAGTGAACTTAACTTATTTGTATCGTAGTATCTTATTCTCAGTATTACTAGCCGTGAGGGCAACACAAGTCAAAACTATGATGAGCTATCACAATGATGAGTCTGAACGGTTATCATCCAGAAGCAGAATGCGACCATGGCTGGTGAGGATGTGATGAAAAAGAAACTATTATACACTCGTTTGTGGAGATGTACATCAACATGCTAGCCTTTGCAGCAGTGTGGACATTTCATTAAAAACTGGAAACACATTTGCATAAGATCCAGCAATGCTACTATGGGGTACATACCCAAAAGGCATGACCATATTGTGTCAAACTTGTTAAGAGGGTAAAAACTTTCAGCCTGATTTGTAGAGTGGAGTATTCAGCAGCAGGCTTGGTCAGTGATACCCCCTCCCACTAGCCTCCTACCCAGAGTGGTTGGATCAATGGTGGAAAACAAACTGAGGCCATGAATGGGATTCTTCCGTGGTAAAGGGACACGGATTTCCAGGTCACACTACTTTATCAGAGACCAGAGCTTCTGATTTTTAGGATGAATTCCAATCGCTTCATTTACACTCAGCTTCCGATTCCCTAATTTAGAGTTGCTGTTTAACATTGTGGCTTTAGTTGACCTTAGAAGGTATTTTATCGAAGTTAAAATGCCCTCAATACTTCCCATACAATTGATAGCAAACTAAGAGACTCCAATACACAAGTATTTATCTCTTCATGCCTTCTGGAGTAAAACCATTTCACATCCTACGGTGTTTCTATATCTTTTGACAAGTAGTAGACGATTTGAATATTATAGTGATCATTCAATTGTAATGTGTAACACAAAAATCACGAAAGAGTGGAAGAAAATGACTGATGAATAATTTTTCAGAAAACAGCTTATCGTGCTGTGTTTATCCTGGAATTGTAGTCCAGGATAAACATAAACAGTACTGCCTGTGTTTTGATTTCTTTCTGGAAAAGTATATGTATGCATGAATGAATATTTTATAGACATTTACATGTATGTCTGTAACGACCTAAACAGACATCCTCCTTCAGATAGTTAAAGTGAGAATTACCTGGTAGTGTTACAGGTGAATATAACATCATTGGAAGGAAGTGATTCATTTCAAATTTTACTTTTAGTGTAATTGTTCAGCGTATCAGCTTAAATATTGTTCATGATGGATTACAATGTATTCTAATAGTGTGTGCTAAATTATTATTTTTAACTTTTATTTCTAAAATGTTTTTTCTCAATGTGAAAAAAAACAACAACATTTAGAGGAATGGCATCTTTTAGCCACAAGAAAATCTAAACTCCAGTGATGTTTGTTTCCGTTTGCAATGTAATCTATGTATCGTATAAACTTGAAATATTCAAGAACACATTCAAGGTCAAATGCTTTCAATGTAATCACTCTTTGTCTAGCTGATAGCCATTTTCCAGTTAATGATCATTAACAACATTTTAATAAACCTAATTTACATAATTCTGCAATTTTATTTTTTCACATAATGAGGCAACCTCTTCATTTATTTCTCCTTCCTTCCTTCCCTCCTTCCTTCGTTTTTTCCTCCCATGTTTCTTCCTTCCTTCCTTTCTTCCTTTCTTCTTCCCTTCCCTCCCTCCCTTCCTTCCTTCCCTTAGATGCTGCTACTCCTTCTGTGTCAAACTCAGCGCATGGAAATTGCACTTAAGTCATCGGTGTTGTCATTTAGTATTTGGTAACCCCACTTTTTTTTTTTTTAACGCTCACACAGGAGCTTTGTGCAGTGCACATTTCAAATAGATTGGTTTTCTGTGAGGAAACCAACCAGTGTTGATGAGGCGTATTGGCAAAGATGGAGAGCAGGGGCAAGGAGAGGTCAGATGGACGCGGCAGTGCCAGATCCATGGAGAACGCAGTGCTTTGACTGGAGAACATTAACCCGTGGCACCCGACCTACTACACCGGTGAATTCACACAGACAACCACACGAGCCTCATGCATCCTTTACCTTCCTGTCTGAAGCTGTGCTTCCATCCGACCTCACCCTCCGTGCAACTGTGACGTGCACAAATACTCCGCCGGAATCTGCAGTGAGAACACGATACGTGGTGGAAGGTTTCCTAGTGTTTTTGTTTGGTATTTATTTCAGTCAAGATTTAGCTGGATATATCTGCACAGCCCAAAATGGTGCACATCCTTTTTGCGGCACATCGTATTAAGCACGGTTTTCAACGTCTGTTCAAGGACAGACACGCTGACATTATAGGGGCCCAGAGGAACCTGGTTTCTTCGGGTCCCAAGAGAACACGTTGCGGGCCATCCACCCACCTCTGTGTCCCATCACAGCCTGGGGACCGCCCTGGCTGAGTGTCAGCTGCTGGCGCTGAGTGTCAGTACAGACACCTCCGTGGGAGACCTTGGTTTCTCAATTGGGCTTTGGGGTGTGCGTGAGGGATCCAGGAAAGGTTGTGCGGTATGGTTGAGAGCTCAGAAGGGACCCAGCCCTGCTGCGTCGCCGAAGGAGCGCGGAGGGGAGGCGGCTAGAGGACTTACTCAGGAGGGCGTGCAGCTCTCCAAGTCCAGCGAGCAGTGTGAGAAGCAGCATGGTTCTGGCCGGAGCGCAGAGAGCACGGCCCAGGCGGACGACCGTTGAGCCATTCCGAAGCTCGCGGGTGTGGCCTGAGCCACACAGTCCTGGGACACTTGGGCAGGTAGTACTGCCCCTCAGGCTCCAGAGTGGAGGATTGATTTGCCGTAAAGACATGTAAGAGGTTCAAAATCCCCAGGATTGATGTTAGCTTCCCATAGGTGAGATGATTTTTCTCTGCAGGGAGGAACTTGGCGGTTCACTTTCCTGGAAGGTCTTACTGAGGATGCTGGACCAGGTGAAAAAGCTTAGCCATTTTAATCTGTTCTAAGTAGCAGTTCCTCATTGCTGATCATAATGCACTCTGCAACTGTGTATCTTTGTTCCAGCATCATTGCAAAGACACACCGAAGCATTAAAGTGTAAGTCACCTGTTTTGTTAATAGCGACTTTAAGCACAGCTTTGAGCTTTAGAGATGGGAGAGACAGCAAGACAAGGAAAAAGTGCAACACTGATTCAGTGTAGAAGAAATTCACTAAGTGCTCCCTGAACATTCAGACAAGTGTCTTCTCTGCTCACCTGTCCCACACCAGGGTTCCTCTGTGTACCCCAGATGATTTGTTCCAACAGTTGCAAAACTGAAACCTGTCTCCTTCAGATATTCGTATGCCTGACAGATGGAAGCTCAGAGATGGGGGAACTAATGCAAGCAGTGGCCACAACAGCCCCCGACTGTGTGAGCACTGATGGATGAGAAATAAGATTCTGCAAGAATCATCCCAGGGAGTGCCTTTTGGAAACACTCTCATTGAGACATCACTCAGTAGCCTCCCATTTGACTCATGTAACCTGAACAACTGTGGTGGTAAAACGCTACGTGGGACCACAGCACCCTGCATTGCAGTATAGGTTTCATGTCCTAAATTTTCAGCTTGATGCTAATGTGTACCCCGGAAGATAGCAGAGATTGTTTAAGTAGCTTGAACTTCACTGAGGCCTGAAAGCGTTTGGGGAGTGAGTCGGAACATGAGAATCACCACTACGCCTTGTATCTATAACCTCTGCTCCTGTCCTCCTTCACTTCCACCCCTACCCTCTTTCCACGTCTAGCCCTAAACCACTATCAAACTAACGTCACCTCTAGAGAAGGCATGTTCTCTCCCACGTCACACCAATGACTGGTCTGTGCTCTGCTCTTTAAGTTTCAAGGCTCATCCATGGTGTAGCAAGGCCTCATTCCTTCTGACGCTGAAGTTACTCCAACAGAGGGATACACTACTTTTTCCTCATTCGTTGGCATCAGTGGATGAGCATTGGGAAATGACCAGTGGATCTTGTTTTTTGGCTTTGTGATGCAGACCCTGAAGGTCCTGGTCAAACTCCAGATACAATGCTGTGAAGCATGTCAAGGTGCAGCCACTTCAGCAAGAGAGGTGAGAGGAGGAGGATTACAGTAGAGAGAGCCTACCCAGCAAAGCCCAGCTTCAGTGGGGGACTGATGTGTGGATCCCCCAAAGGACCACAAGAACCTCATGGGTTCTCAGTTTACACTGGGCCCAGGAAGCAGCCACTGGAAGCAGGACAGATGCCCTTGACCTAGAACACACTTAGAGCAACCCATGCAAGATGGAAGCGAAGGCAGGGCCACCTGGGAGCTCTGGAGATGCTCGTCTCCAGGTCCTGTTTCATTGCACATTCCAAAGTCTGTGATGGAAGAACAGGGGGTCTCACCAGCTATTGGAGAGGGGCAGGGGATGTTAGCACGGCCATGAACATCTGCAGGGGCAGCAACAGACAATGGGATGGTTCTTACTCTGGCTCTAACAGCTTCCAGGGCAAACATTTCCCACTGAACATTTACAACAGAAAACCAACAAGCATGAGTTCATTCCCTCACAGTCACAGGATTTATTTTCTTTGGTGAAAGCGAAACCTGAAAGTCACAACTAAAGGAAAGCCAAGCCAGACACAGTTTTTCATTCTTGAGTCAAAGCAGTTAGCAGTGTTTCTTGGTCATATCCTTCCTCCAGTCTATTGTTTCTGATGTTATGGCTTAGTGACTGTGACGGAAACAGAAATGTAGAAATGCTTAAATTTCATAATTAGCAACTCTAGGGTGGTAGTCAATTAGTATAAAAACCAGAAACAAATTACAACAGCAAAAACCCTGGAGATACTGAAATCCCCGTTTTGTTTTTGTTTTTGTTTCCCAGGACATTTGTGAAGCATTGTTTCTTTTTCATCAGTAGCTCGCAATAGCCACATGAAAAGGTAACACTGTAAGCTGAAACTCAGGTGTTTTGTTTCCAAGCTCTTCATGCCAGAAAAGCACCCCTTGTGTAACAGCGGAAATGAGTGATGTGAATCCATGAAGAGGACACAGGAGTTACTGATATTTGCCTATTTTTTTTTTTTCTGTAGAGGCAGCATACCTCCAAAAGCATTCTGCACATTTCTAACAGGTGTTTCACATGTTAACTTCTGAATCTGAACTCATTCTTCATTCTCCACTTCACCCACCACTGTCTACCAGATGTCTTTTTTTTCCTAACCCAAGAACATCAACCAGTCAGCACGCTGATTGCACTGGCCTCATTTCTCTAAAACTTGGTCTGGGCTTCTGTCTTCCCATCTGATTCTGCCCTCCCTTGACCTTTCCTGCCTATGCAGTCTTCTCTCAGCCATCTCTTCAGGAGTTTCTCAGCTGTTTGTCCAATCACCTCATCTGGCTGAATCCACTTCCCCTTACCTTACTCCACTGCAATTGTAAAAACTCACATATCATGACAAAGCCCCCTCAAATATCCCTCATCTCCACAAAACAAAACAAAACAAAACCTTACATCCTCTATTAATATGCAAATCAACTACATGAAGTCCAAATCTCCACTCACAGTAAGGTGTCAGAAGGCTTCTGAGGCCTCCAAAATCCCACCCGAGCATCTTTCTTTGATTTATTTACAGTTATAGCCTTTTTTGCTAGCTTTGTTTCAGAAAAACTGGTATTCACTGATGCTCATCTCACATTTGTGGATAGATTTTTTTTTTAACTTAGAAATATGCATGGGAAATTCTGCCAGACATTTACCCGTGCAAGATGGATTTGTTTTGTTTCTGAAATCAGAAAGATCTGCATGGTTTTTTGGTGTAAACACTTGCACAGTGAGTGCCATAGGATTTTTTCCCCCTTAATATAGATTTACTGACTACTTTACAAAGCAGACTTACAGGGAATGAGAGAAAGAATTCTTTCATTCTCTAGTTCACCCACAAGGGTTTCAGCTAAGCCAGGATGAGCAAAGAGCCTGGAACTCCATCTGGGTCTCCCACATGGTGCAACAACCCTCCCAGGCATATTAGCAAGGAACTATATCATAAATGGAGCAGCTGAGACTTGAACCAGTGTCCAGGGTGGTCAGCATTGCAGGGAGAAATGTTACCAGTTGAACCAAAACACTGGCTTCAGGGTTGTGCAATTTTAGATGGGATGTTTGAAGTTCAAAGTAAGGAACCCTAGGGCCTGGTTTTTATCTCCCCCCCCCCCCCGCCCCCGCACTCAGTGACACAGGAGCAAACAGACACCGATTGACTTAGCTGTTAGAGTCAGATACGAGTTGCTGGAAGACTGCACTCCTGATTTGGAGTAACATTTTTCCAATGATTCTTAGTGGCAGAGCCAAATTATTGGTATTTTTTTACATAAATAAATTAGAACTCTAAAATATATGGATTGATTCCTATTTTTTTTTTCCATTTCATGGTAGAAATTTTTAAAAAAGGTACATTTTAGAATTTGCCAGAGCTGTAAATGTAAGATGCCCTCAATCAGCGTCCCATCCAGCAACCCCAGTTGTTTTCTTTGGCTGTGTGTTCAAGAAGTATTCTTAAGACTGCAAACTGTGTTATCTGGTTGCCCTAGACTCCAACTCCAAACCTTACAAAGATTCTGAGCTTTGGAGAAGTTGTTTAAATTCTGCCTGAGCATTTGCTTACTTCCCAAGGAAGCAGAGCAATGCCAATGGAGTCCTAGAATGGAAGAAATATAAATCATGGAAGACAATGTACATGAGTCTACTTATCAAAACCTTAACTGAAGGAGCAGGAAATAGGAATTTTTTTGGAAGTTATTCAAGGTAACACGTAATATCTATCGAGGCTAGTTTCTTGTTGTAAAGAGATGATTGCGTAACAACTCTCAGGCAGATATTAATTGACACTCAATATGACCAAATGAACCTAACAGAATCAATACTTGAATCTTTATCTTATTGTTAGCTTTGTCATGTGAGAATAGCAAATAATGGTGGGGGGATGAAGTACGGCAGTAGTTTCCTGAGGCTAGGTGTGGCTGAAGGTCGACAAGCACTTCATGGATTACTACATGATTTATCAATAATTGTATGCTTTTAATTTACCTTTAATTCCACGACTCAGTGCTGTTACCACTACTTTCTTCTGTTAATGATCTGCATAAAGAATGAGAACGTGTTTTGATTTTTAGGATTAGGAAACATGGCAGTCTTGAGCTATAGCAAGAAAATCAAATAAATTAAATACAAAGTTAAACGTGTGCTAATTCATTTATACAGAATATATTTATATAGCACATATTCTGTGCTTCCTATATATTTGGGTGTGTAACCTTTTCTCATTTATCTCTGAATTGTAGAGGTGATAAACTGTATTTTAACTTCTCGTGCAGTCAGTTCTAGCCAGCAGTCCTCCTTATCACTGACATAAAAAATGGCAAAATAAATACCATTCTATCTAAAGTAAAAACTCACAAATGTCAAAAGAGATACATTGTACGGATATCTTCAAATTCTGAAATTACCATCATTCTAACCATAATATGTATGTAAATAACTATCTACATAAAAAAACTATTTGTACTAAAATTCACTGTCACTAATGAGATCCTTTAATTGTGCACTAAATTGTAGGCTGACATAGCTTCTCACCATAGTGGTGTGTAGAGAGCCCGCATGCCCGCTTTGGAACACTACAGTTCACAGTCAATGTGGGCAGGGAGGATCACAGCCTCCTAGTCCCTAGTTCACGGCTATAACTCAGGACCACACATGATAAGAACGGGTTTGAACTCCTGACTTGGACTTGTAAACTCATGCAGAACTCTGTCTGAGGTTAGGTGCTTCTGTCTAGAGAGAATGGACTGACAGACATCGGGACACTGGCTGCGAGCAGATTATCAGTATTTTCTTTACAAGCTGATGTAGAAATGGTTGCAATAGATGTGTCAGAGCAATTTTAAGCAGGCCAGTCATTGTGGAGAGAATGAAAGGAGAATAAGAGCTGATTCAATCCTAAAGCTCTTGAGTGATCAAGAGAAGGATCCAGTTTCTGACCAACAGTTCTTGACCTCCACTTGCTTCAGCCCTGGAACCCTGACATCAGTCATGGCCCCTGTGACACTTAGGCCTGTGGTGACCTCCTTTTGTCGTTGGTAGCTAACGAGTCCTTCCCACAAGAGTTTTCTGAGTGTCTGAATAACTTTTAGCATCTACTGGTGTTCTCCAAGATGGGCTCTTCAGTGAGAGCACCCGGAAGACTTCTGCCAGTTCTCCTTTCATGAAGCCAACTGACACTAATTTGATTATGCAAATATCATTATAAAGAGTCCAGTTGTTGCCCTGAATTTCAATATATTATCAGATGATTTAATATCTTAATGTTATAAATGGAGTCATTGATGAACATTTTAACCATGGTTTTGTGTCCACCAGCACTCCTGAAAAATAGCCGTTTACATGTTGCACCACATGAAACCCATTCATCTTTCCTTTATCTATGTTCTTACTTCCTTAAACATTCACTTAAACATGCATTCCTTAAACATTAAATCAGGTTTGACATTGCTGTTATGTGAAATTAAAATAATCTGTGCAATACCTTAATTACTTTTTATAGACATATGAACAGTATGGTCTCCCTTATTCTGTGCCGGCTCCAGTTTGTCTAGCCGCCCACATGTCCTAGTCCCAGCCTTTCTTCCCTGCCTGTGTCTGTCACCTGCTGAGCACGTGGAATGGCAGGGCCGGCACCGTGGGGCTGCCTGGGAAGTGAGCAGAGCCTCCTGAACGTTTTAGTCAGCTCGGCTTTTCCTGGAGAGGCTGCCAAGATGTCACGAGCAGCTGCAGTGGCTCCTGGGAATGGGACGTGTTCCTGAGGGCCTAGACTCTGAGACTTCCTTATTCAAAACTTATAAAACTTAATCCTTTTCTGAGAATTCCTACCTACAATACTCTGAATTGCATCCAAATTCTTCCCATAATTTTAAAAATTAATGTGTTTACCCACCCTTCACTTAAAGGTTCTTCTCTGTGCCAAAATTTCTTCAATTTATTCCACTTCAGAGCAATGACACCAATTATAACAAAGAGTGGTAGATAAATGTATAAACTGAATAAAAGGCCTTTCTTTGGTCCAGAACGCTGATATTCTTCTGGCAAGGAAAATCCCTTACCTAAAAAACACAGAAGCATCTATATATACTTTTCAAAAATTACATTAAATTATATCAGTAATTTGAACTATGAAAATTTGAAATTTGAATAATGCAGATTAAGGTTAATTCAGATTTAGAATCGTTTCCCAGTCTTCTGTAACAATATCGCCCCCAAAAGTACATATCTGTATTAGTTCTATACATTTATATGTATTATTGGCAACACTTAGTTCTTAACAATATGTAATACAATTCACATGAAAAATTAACAGAAGCCTCTCCAACTTGCGGAATGATATGGACAAACACATTTACAGATGCTCAAGAGGTCTGATCCAAAAAGAGCTTCCTCTCGACTTGAGAAGTATTCTAAAATTGTGAAAGAAGCTCATTAATTCACATTTAAAGGGACTTGCATTAGACTGACAGCAGATTTTTCAACAGAAACCTCGTAGTCCATGAAACAATATAGTCCAAATTCTAAAAAACAAACAAACAAAAAAAACTACCAACCCAGAATACTTTACCCTGAGTAACTTTCATTCATAAGTGAAAATGAAGTAAAGATCTTCCAAAGAAACACAAGTTGAAAGAATCCATTAAGAATCCATGATCAGCCCAGGATAACATGACAATTAGCAATGTGTTATGTGCCAAAGCAGAGAAAACTGATCAACATCAGTATCACAAGTAGAAAACTCATCAACAAAATCACAGGGTGTTCAAAATAGGTGTTAACAATTTTTTATGAAAATATAGCACTATCAAATCGCTGCCTAATGAAGATAAGCTTGAACATAAATAGGCTTAAATTGCCAAATAAAAGACACAGGGTGGCTGAATGGATAAAAAAAAAAGTAAGATCTATATGTCACTCATAAGACACACTTCACTAGTAAACACACACATACACACAGGTATATTCACAGACTAGAAGTAAAAGGATGGAGAAATACTCCATGCAGATGGAAACCTAAAAGTGAGAAGAAATAGCTACACTGAAAAAAAAATATCCATGAGAAAAACTTAAAAGAGAAAAAGAAGGTCACTATGGGATAATTAATTAATCCAATCAAAAGGAAGACCAGGCTATTTTACTTGCACATGACTGAATTCCACAGCATCCAGTTTTAGAGAACAAATGTTGGCGGATCTTAAGGGAATCACAAGCTCCATTACTTGGAGAAAATTTAACACTTGTAGAGTTTAACATTAACTTGGCGAGTTTCACCCATAGACAGATCAACAGACAAAAGTCAGTAAAGCACACAGAGCTAAAACAAAGGCACCGGTGCTATCTGTGAAGCAGTCTGTCCCACAAGTGCAGAGCACACATTGTTTCCACCATGACACGAGCATTCTCCAGGGTAGACCTTTTATGAGGTAATAAATCATATTTAAATGTGTTTAAACATTGTAACCATATCATGTGAAGCCAAAAAATAACAACAAAACAAACTCTAGCTGCTCCATAAAGACATGGAGGCCAGACAACAAACTTCTGAATGAGTAGAAAATCATAAGGGGGGGGGCGAATTTAAAAATTAAAAAAGATATTAAAAATGTTGAAATGAATGAAGATAGAAACACTGCACATCAAAAGACAGACACACATAAAGCAGTGTTCAGAGGAAAGTTCATAACAAAACAGGTTTAAAATAAGTAATCTCACAATACATTCAAAGAACAATTCAAACCCTTGGAAACTCATTCTATGAAGTTAATATTATCTTAATTCCAGAAGAAACAAGGTTCCAAAGATGAAAGAGACCTGCAAATACCTCCAACGAATAAGATATAAAGTTTCTCAACAAAATACTCAAGAAGCATGTCCAACAAAACACCAAAAGAAAAAAAAAAAGCATCCTACTATAGTGTGATTTACTCCAGGGGGATGTAGAGCTAGATCAATAAATGCAGTGAATAAACATGAAATATCATCCCTGCAATAGATGCAAAGAAAGCAGTTGATTAAATACAGTGTTGGTTCAGGACCCATCATGCACCTGTGCGGGAGGATGGCCGCCACCATTCTGTGCCCACATGAGAGGGCAGCCCGCCACCATTCTGCGCTTTTGTGGGAGGGTGATGTGCCGTGGGGACCTAGGAGTCCAGGCTTGCAAATGGCCTGGGGAATGGAGTTGGCAGGGCATGTGGGGATTTGGGGGCTTGTGCTCAAGTGTGTGGAGTGAACCTGAGTATTTCCTCACATCCTTTGTCCCAAGATGGGTAAGAGGAATGGAGGGGAGAGACCTAGGATAACAGGCTGCCTGGTGTGCCAGTGGACCAGGTTTGGGGCATTTCAAGAGGGCTTGGGTTTTGGGTGTGTGCAGGGGTATAATCCCGGATCAACATATACGCCAGAAGATTGGGATCCTGGTCAGCAAACAGAGGAAGAGCTTTCTAATCAGTTCTATACACTGGCCCATATGGGAGACCTGAGCTGGACTGATTTGGCATGAATCACCACTGATTACCACTCACCAGGATACACAAAAAGCTACGGTTGAGGACCTAGCTGGCAGGGCTAGATCACAGTACCCTCCAGTGAGAGTTGGAACAGGGGATAAGTGATGTCATGACACTGATTAGCATGCAAGAGAACCAGTTTTGGGAGCAGATTCTGTGGGATATTAGACATATGGACCCACCCCTGTAGAACTGCAATTTCTGCTGGTTTGCTTAAGAGCTGGGGCTAGTGACACATGAGGTAGGCATGACCCTCTAACATTCATGGGCACAGGGGTTGGGAACAGGCTGGGCCTGATCAAGCTGCAATACCCGCAGGTGCACCAAGGATAGGGTGTGGTACAGGCCAAGCTGTAACATCCACCAGCTCAAATAAAGGCTGGGATGGAGGCGGCAGACTATGCCATCACATGTGAGATCTTGGTCTGCGGGTGAACCTAGTGGGAGAACTTGGGAAACTCCCCTGGTGTGGCATAGCTCCCACTGGTGAACATATGATCCAGGCCTGGGTGTTGGTCAGGCTGGGCAAGGTATCTCCGTCTGTCAGCAACATTGTGGGTTGATTCTGGAGGTGGAGGACTGGGTAGAACCAGGCCAACCTTAGCCCACTAGTATGTGCAGGAGGCAGGCTGGAATGTGGGCCATGCTGGGATGGCTGTCATACCTATGGGTTTGCATGAATCAGAGATGAGAGTAGACTGGCAGGGCTGGGTTGCAGCACCTTCCAGCAAGATTTGGGACTCAAGTTGGGTCAGGACAGACCAGGCTGCAGGATCCAATGGCAAAGGACATGATGGGGGATGGGCAATGCCAAGCTATGCCAGAGGAACTAGTAGCATGTACAAGATCTGTGGCAGGGAACAGGCCTAATTGGGCAACTAAGGGGATGCCTCGGCTGGGTGGTGGTTCAACTGGTGAGTGTGCAAGCTAGAATGGGGAAGCTGATCTGGACTGGAAATGACTACAGTGTCCCTTGGCATGGGTGGGGCCTGGGTCAGGGGTGTGTCATCCTGGGCTAGACTCCAGCACACATTGGTGCTTATGAGAGACAGGGTGGACGTAGGATGGGATGGGTTGGTTCCTGCTGAACCATTCAAGAGCTGTATCAGGGAGTGGGCCAAGTGTGCCTGGGCTCTAAAAGCCAACAGTAAGAACTGAAATGGGTGTGGGCCAGTTGGGCAAGAACAGGAAGTGGACTAAGTCAGTCTGGGCCGAGGAACCACCGGTGTGTGTGAGATCTGCCATGGGAGGAGACATGATAGAGGAGGTTGGGAAACTCCTTCACAGGATGCAATCCTTGCAGGTGAGAGCAAGAACCAAGGCAGGGAGTAACCAAGATGAGGCCAGGTTATGGTACCCACCGGCATACATGTGGCTCAGGTCTAAGGACAGAGCATAATACCAGTTCATAATGGGTGTGGGCCAGTTCATAATACCCAATGGCAGATCTGAGAACCAGGACAGTGCACAGGACTGGCCAGGTTGGTCCACAACACCAACCAGTGCACATTAGGGCCAAGACTCGGGGCTGGCTGGGCTGGGCAAGTCTGCAGTGGACCTCCAGTTGGGTCACTACTCCCACTGGTGAAAACTGATGAATATGAGAGCTGGAAAAGGGGGAAGACAAGACCTGGAAGGGCCATAACACCTGTTAGTCTGCATGAGAAATGGGTTGGGGGAATGCCAACCTGGGGTAACTGACTGTATCCACTGGTGCATGCATGAGCCAGAGTAAGTAAAACCAGTTAGGCTTTGCTGCAGCATCAGCTGGCAAGTGACTAGGGGCAAATGAGGTCAAGTTACACTGCAGAACCACCTAGAAAGTGCAAGACCTGGGACTGGGTCTAGTAGGGAAAGTTAGATGACCCTTACTTCACAGCTTACTCCAAAATCAAGTCAGAATGCATGAAATATATATAGTTAAGACTGGCTTGAAATATCAAACCACTAGAGGAAAACGTAGGACAAACATTCTAAGACATTGATTGAATCAGGCAATGACTTCTTGGAAAGTCTCCAAATGTACAGGGAATACATTTTAAAGCAAAGTAAGGAAGATTATATCAAACTATGAAACTTATCCACACCCAAAAGGAAAGAAGAAAAGAAAAGAAAAGAAAAGAAAAGAAAAGAAAAGAAAAGAAAAGAAAAGAAAAGAAAAGAAAAGAAAAGGAGAGGAGAGGACAGGAGAGGAGAGGAGAGGAGAGGAGAGGAGAGGAGAGGAAAACAGACAATTAAAAGGGAAGATAGCTGCAAGAATGGTGGAATTTGCCAGCAAAGTATTTTTCTTTGCAAAAAAATAATTTAAAGACTACTTGGGGCCTGGCGCGATAGCATAGCTGTTAAAGTCCTCGCCTTGAATGCTCGAGATCCCATATCGATGCCGGATTTAATCCTGGCAGTCCTGCTTCCCATCCAGCTCCCTGCTTGTGGCCTGGGAAAGCAGTCAAGGAAGGCCCAAAGCCTTGGGACCCTGCACCCACGTGGGAGACCTGGAAGAAGTTCCTGGAGTCGGATTGGCTCAGCTCCAGCCGTTGCAGCTGCTTGGG